ACCTAATGTCGCGACTTGAGGTCAAGCGACAGGAAAAGACCTAGAAGCGAGGGGCGTCCGACTAGTTCTCACCGAAGCGATGGTGAGCGAGGCTCAAACCTAAGGCTAGGGACAAGAGTGTATTAGTTAGTAAGTAAAAGAAGTAAGTACAGGAGAGCTTACTGACCTAGGGACAAGAGGTCGAAACTGAGGTCCCTAGGGCAGCAGAGGCTGGTTTATATACATGGGAAGATTTAGGGCAGGCTGTGCGCGTTGGTCCGTGCGCAGCTGGTCTGTGCGCAGCATGCCGACGCGGCCCCGGGGGCCGGTGAGTCAGAGTGGCTGCGTCAGCGGGGCCCGAGCTGTGCCGTGCGCTGCCGTCCCATCTAATCTAATCGTACAGTAGATAACGACGTGTCCATATCAGGCAGGTAGTACAGAGGTCGCGGGTTCGAGCCCGCGAAAAGGAAAAAATTAAAAAACGGCTAGACACCGTACCAACTCGTGACAGCGATGTGTTCAAGCATCATGGGGCCCTGGCCAAGGTCATATCAGACCGAGGTCCCCAGTTCGCTTCGAAATATCTCCATGCGGTGTACAAGGGACTAGGGATCGAGCCGGCGCTGTCTACAGCGTTCTACCCTCAGACAGACGGTCAGACTGAGCGTTGGAATCAGGAGATCGAGCAGTACCTGCGTGCTTTCACAAGCCACAGGCAGGATGATTGGGCGAAGCAGTTGCCACTCGCGGAGTTCACACTAAACAACCGAGTTCACTCCGCAACCGGGCACTCCCCATTCTTCCTGCTTCAGGGGTACAATCCTGAGATCCAGGTTCGGATCAATCCAATGTCTGCGATGCCTGCGGCCGCTGATCGGCTCAAAATCCTGAAGGAGATTCGCGATGACACGCGCTCTGCGCTCGAGCTGTCAGCTGAGCGTATGAAAGTGTACTATGACAAGCATGTGCAGGAGGCACCGGTCTTCACACCGGGGGACAAGGTCTGGCTTGACGCTTGGAACCTTAAGCTGAAACAGCCGAGCAAAAAGCTCAGTCCCAAGCGCCTTGGACCATATGCCGCTGTCGAGACTTGAGGTCAAGCGACTGGAGAAAACCTGAAAGCTGGGGGCGTTCAACTGATTCTCACCAAAGCGATGGTGAGCAAGGCTCAAACCTAAGGCTAGGGACAAGATAAGTTAGCATTGGTAAGTAGGTAAGTGATACATGAGCTTACTGACCTAGGGACAAGAGGTCAAAACTGAGGTCCCCAGGGCAGCAGAGGCCGGCTTATATACAGGGGAAGATAAGGGCAGGCTGTGCGCGCTGGTCCGTGCGCAGCTGGTCCGTGCGCAGCTGGTCCGTGCGCAGCTGGTCCGTGCGCAGCTGGTCCGTGCGCAGCTGGTCCGTGCGCAGCCTGCTGATGTGGCCCCGGGGGCCGGTGAGTCAGAGTGGCTGTGTCAGCGGAGCCCGAGCTGTGCCGTGCACTGCCGTCCTATCTAATCTGATCGTACAGTAGATAACAATGTGTCCATATTGGGCATATAGTACAGAGGTCACAGGTTTGAGCCCGCAAAAGGGAAAAAAGTAAAAAACGGCTAGACGCCGTACCAACTCGTGACAAAGCCCTTCTGCAGCTAAGGTGGCCCGAGGTTCTGCACCTTTTCAAGTGCCTCAGCCACAACCTGATCCTTATCCGAACACTCCCTGATGCGCTTCAGAAGCAACTGATCAGCCGTCACCAAGGCATGACCACGTCTAGTGGAAGCAATGCGGAATCTCTCCAGTTTGAGAACCACCTGATTGGTGTTATCATCCTCATCACCGACCTGATGGTCTGATTGGTGTGACAGGGCATCAGCTTTTCCGTTCGACGTTCCAGCTTTATGCATGATACGGAAGTCGAAGTGTGCAAGGAACAGTGACCATTGTGCTTGACGACATGTGAGGTGCTGTGATGTGCGCCAGTACTCAAGGTTCTTGTGATTGGTAATGATCTCAAACTGATTGGGCAACCCCTTGAGATAGTGGCGCCAATCGTCAAGCGCTGCAATGATTGCAAGCATCTCCTTGTCATAGATCTCATAGTTACGCTGGGCGGGATTCATAGCACGGGATCGGAAGGCGATGGGATGCCATTTGCCATCATCCTGCTTCTGCATCAATACACCGCCAGTGGCATATCCCGAGGCATCAACCTCAATGCGCGTCTCTCGGTTGGGATCAAACAATGCCAAAACAGGAGTTGTAGTGAAGAGCTGTTTGAGCTCATCAAAGACATACTGCTCTTCCTTTCCCCAATGCCATGGGTCATTCCCTGTGAGTCGGTCGAGTGATCGCAAGATCTTGGCAAAGTCCTTAATGAAGTAGCAGTAGAAATTGGAGAACCCCTGGAACTTCTGAACATCTTTTTGTTCCGGGGTACCGGCCACTCATTAATTTCTTTCAGCTTTGCGGGATCCATCACTACCTCATTGCCACCGAACACATAGCCGACATAGTTGACCTTGGGAACATCCCATTTGCACTTCTCAGGCTTCAGGAACAGATTATTATCCTGAAGGCGGCGAAGGACCTCGTGCGTGACCTTCTCATGCTCCTCCTTATTGGTTGAGAAGACGAGTATGTCATCCAGGTACACGAGGACCTTTCCACTGACAATGAGATCATGGAAGATATCATTCATCATTGCCTGGAAGGTCACGGGGAAATTGGTGATGCCGAAGAACATCACCTGTCATGACTTAGGGTCGAGCGACAGGGGAAACACAGACTACAAGATGCTGGGGGTGTTCGACTGGTTCTCACCGAAGCGATGATGAGCGAAGCTCAAACCTAAGGCTAGGGACAAGTAATATATTAGTTAGTGTAAGGTAAGTAAGAGAATACAGGAGCTTACTGACCTAGGGACAAGAGGTTGAAACTGAGGTCCCTAGGGCAGCAGAGGCAGGCTTATATACAGGGGATGTTTAGGGGAGGCTGTGCGCACTGGTTTGTGCACAGCTGGTCCGTGCGCAGCATGCTGATGCAGCCCCAGGGGCCAGTGAGTCAGAGCGGCTGTGTAAGCGGAGCCTGAGCTATGCCGTGCACTGCCGTCCTATCTAATCTAATCGTATAGTAGATATGATGCGTCCATATCAAGCATGTAGTACAGAGGTCGCGGGTTCGAGCCCGCAAAAAGGAAAAATTAAAAAACGACTAGACGCCGTGCCAAGTCATGACATCACCAGGGGTTCATACAGCCCTCGGTTAGTTACAAAGGCAGCCTTCCATTCGTCGCCAGCCTTGATCCGGATATTATTATATCCCCATCTAACATCGAACTTGGTGAAGAGTGTAGTGCCACTGAGCTTGTCCACCATCTTGGCGATCAGCAGCAGTGGTGATGCGATCTACAAAACCCTAACCCCTAACCTGGGTACGACCTAAGTGGACTAGAGGCAGGTTATTATCTTTGTGAGGGGAGTTAGCAGCAAGGTGTCCCGCGGTTCGAGTGAACACGAGAAACGCCCTCGGAAAAGGCTACGAGCGCTAGGGAAGGTTCAAGGTAGCTCGAGACGTCGTCGAAGCTACTCGGCGGCTGTGGGTAGTTAGCAGAGACGATCGAAGCTCAGCAGAGCTCTTCGATGTATCGTAGAAGGAAGGGACACAATTTGATAGGGAGGACTTAGCTAGGGCGCGGTTCGCAGTTTCTTCGACAATAGTTGAAGTCGAAAGGTTCGTCGAGACGGTATCGACGAGTAAACGCAGTGGATGAGGTTTCGAGGTTACGCAATGAAGAACGAAGTGACGCAGTTAAGGACTTAGACATAGGGCGAACTCGACTTATGAGCTCTGAACTCGAGGGGGGGAACCGGATCTTTTTTTTTTGGAGAGAAGTATGACAGAATTTATACTACGCATAGTATGCTATGACTATCGAGAGTGGCACACTAGTACAAGGGGCTTTGCATTGTTCCGCACGAATCTGCCTCACCAAGTGGCACGCACCAAGTCCATTGGTAGAGTGACATCATGCCGAACGCGGAGATGAAGAGAAACATATGGACACTTCGGACCGGTGTCCGTCGTTGAAGGCATGCTGCGAGGTTCGATACCTAATCGGGAAAGACCGGCTACGTCGGTGTGGTACAGAGTGGTGCACGTGCTTGGCCGAGCGGCGTCACCTTTTGGGTAGCCGTTCTGATGCTTCCTTCGAGAAGACCTTCAGAAACTCGTGGTACTGCTCCGGCACTAATTCCTCGGCAGTCTTAACGACCTTCTTTTTGATCTCTTCCTCAGCAAACAGTTGAGAGTACATATGTCCTGCTGCAACAAACAGCTGAGGGGCACCAGGAAGCGTGACACCCTGCTCCCAGGCTTCGATCAAATCAGCTTCGTCCCACTCGACTTCTACCGGATCTTCTTCAGGTTCAAAGTCCAGCAGTACCTTACTCCAGCAAGCACCAATGACTAATTGTTTGGACTTCGGTGAACGCCTGCGCGCCATGGGCCTGACCCCCGTATCACGCGCAGTCGCAGCTTGCTCCATTCGGCCAGTCTTCCTGGCGCTGCACGTTTTTGGGCATCATGAGAGTTTCAGGGAACCAGACTCCCAATCAATCTCGGGATTGTGGTCGTGTAGCCAATCCAAACCGACAATCACATCTTCTGGACCTATGTCCGTGACCGTGAACACCATCTTCTCGAGGTGATCTCCTATCTACATCTGTAGCACTGCTACTTCTGAGATGCTTCCATCTTTGTTGAGGGTGCCGTCAATTTGTATAGCGGAATTGGTTCTTTCAACTTCCGTGTTTGCACCTTGTTTTCTGTAATAAATCACTTATTGATAAACTTTGTGGTGGCTCCGCTGTCCACCATAGCGATTATGTCCTTGTGCCGTCTTTTCCCTTTGAGGCGCACCGGGATGTGAAAATGCTGGAACCCATGGTCCAACTCATACACATTAGCGGTTGCCAATACATTGTATACATTGTTATTATGCGGCCCGACGCATGCAGCACGAAGTGCGGACCGGATCAAAAACCCTCTTCCTTCATTTCCTGATAGTGCTCAAGCTCCTCGCGCATCGACTTCACCTGTGCCATCAAGTCCACCAGCTCAGTATTCACTGAAGCGGCACTTGTACTTGCCGAGGGTGAAGTGACAGGGGCGCTTGTTGCAGCCTGGGTGGAACCCAAGGCAACTGTAGCCCGTGCGTCAGCACATTTTGTCTAAGGCTTGTCCTTACAATTGGGGCACTCAAAGTGTCGGTACCCTCTTTTCCCACAGCTGAAGCATTTGCCGGGGAAATCGCCTTTTCCGACGGCCACATTGATGCTGGCCAAAGCGCCTTGTGAGCGGGGTGCACCACCACGTGCCCTACCATGTCCTCGACCTCGAGCTGAGAAGAAGCTGTTTAACTTGGGCTGGCAGACCCAGCTGATGTCAAGTTGCTGCTCAACCTCTGTGGTGCACTTGTCAGTGTCTTCTCACGTGGTGAAGGTTTCCAAGTCGATTTTGCGGTAGACGCGGGAGGGGATGCCGCTCAGGTACTTGTCATGGTCACCATACCCGGATTGGTCCGCCAGACCCTTGAACAGTGCGGAGAATTCCACGGCAGTGCACTTCTCATGCAGGGACTTGTCAGCACAGAGCTTGGCGAGCTCCACTTGTGCTGCTGCCTTATCGTTGAGGTTACCAAAGCATGCTTTGAATGCAGTGGCAAAAGCTGCCTCGTTGGCAAAGGGGGTTGTAGCTCCCTGGGTACCGATCTGTACCAACACGAGCTGAGCGAAGAAAGGGGTAGCCCACATGTGAGCATCACCGTCAAGGAGACTCCAGGCTACCTGTACCTTGAGCTCGATGGTGGTTAGCGATGTGTTGATGATCCAGTACACGCGCAACTGTGAAAGGAACCGCTCGCATCCAATGACCATTTTTCCATCGTATCGAAGCGGGAGAAGGTGTTTGAGCGTCTCCTTATCCGGGGGAAAAGCAGAAGAAGACATTATCGGCGGTGAGGGGGACGGAGAATGGCCCGGCGGCAGAAGCAGTGGTTGTGGCTGTCTGCTGGGCAGACTTCGAGGGGAGCGTGTGCACGAGCAGCCTTGTGGCAGAGACGGTGGTACAGGCGAGGGAGGAAGCCCAGGGGTGGTGCTATGTATAACAGGGACTAGAGGCGCAGAGGGGAGCACATCCGGCGATGCGGTGATACAACCTACGAAACCCTAACCCCTAACCTGGGTGCGACCTAAAGGGACTAGAGAGACGGATTATAGTCTAGTGAGAGGGGAGTTAGCAGCAAGGTGTCCCGCAATTCGAGTGAACACGAGAAACACCTTCGAACAAGGCTACGAACAATGGGGAAGGTACAAGATGGCTTCGACACGTCGTCGAAGCTACTCGGAGGCTGTGGGCAGTTAGCAGAGACGATCGAAGCTCAGCAGAGCTCTTCGATGTATCGTAGAAGGAAGGGACACGATTCGATAGGGTGGACTTAGCTAGGGCACGGTTCGCAGTTTCTTCGACAATCGTCAAAGTCGAAGGGTTCGTCGAGACGGTATCAACGAGTAAACGCAGTAGACGAGGTTTCAATGTTACGCAGCGAGGGACGAAGTGACGCAGTTGAAAGCTTAGACGCGGGGCGAACTCGACTTATGAGCTCTGAACTCGAGGGGGGAACCGGATCTTGTATTTTTAGAGAGAAGTACTACAGATTTTATACTACACAGGACACTACGACTATCGAAAGTGGCACACTGGTACAAGGAGCTTTGCATTGTTCCTCAAGAAGCTGCCTCACCGAGGGGCACACACCAAGTCCATCGGTAGAGTGACGTCATGCTGAATGCGGAGATGAAGAGCAACATATGGCCACTTCGGACCGGTAGCCGTCATCGAAGGCATGCCGCGAGGTTCGATACCTAATCGGGAAAGACCGGCTACGTCGGTGTGGCTTGGAGCGAAGCGCGCACCTGGCCGAGCGGCGTCAAGTGGCCCTATTGTTCGCCGAATACAGAAGATGTCCCAGGATCTATGCGCGAGGCATCGGGACGACCGTGCCGAGCTTCGAGTAAGCGTCGCGCACCGTCAAAGGTGTCGAAGAGTGTCGAAGGCGAAATCAAAGTGTTGGGAGACTGAGTCGAAGTGCTGGGCAGGATGCGACTGCCGAAAAGAGGTGTATCGGGGCCCAGAGGGGCTTGGCGCCTATCAGCAGCCCAACCGTGAAGTGTAGGCTCGGGCTTCGAGACTTCTTCTTCACTTGCACTCTTGTCAGACTCTGGTTCTTGTGCAGGGTCTGGAGGGAGATCGGGATCTCCTCCTCCTTGACTTGTACTGGCGACAGTTTGAGGGAGGTGAGAGCTGGGAGAGACAGTGTGGGAGTGCCAGGATGCGGAGCGGGATGCATGGATGCTGTGGGGACCAAGCGGATGTTGGACCCTTCTGATGGCCTTGTAATGCTCGTAGTCCTGGTTGATCAATCGCGGCGTGCGATTTGGGCACGGCTGTTGTTCGCAGGCAAAGATGAGGGAGGAGGGACCTTCAGTGAGGTAAACGTCAAGGAGGTCCTTGGAGTCAAAGGCATGAACAAAGCCTTGACATGTAGCCACAATGGGGGGAGGATGAAACATTTATCTTTCCATTCTATTTCTTGTATTACTAGCACCCATACTGGCACCTGTCTTAGTGCTCACCCGCAGGTTGAACATTATGTAGCTTACATAATGGGGTCCGTGCGCACTTCATGTCTGGTATCGTACCACTACGTTTCTTTCTTTACTAAACATGACCACATAGACATGATTGTCCGTGTGCAGTCAGTACTTGTATAAGTAGTTGTACCATTAGTCGGTCGAACCCTAAGTTTGATCTGGTTATTCATTAAAGTCTCTGCTCCTCTTCACTTGGGGTAGTGGTCATTCTTGACTTCCTCGCTCAATCTTCAGGACGATGCACTGTCCATAAGCCCTCACTCGTTGTCTACGAGTCAGGCATCAATATAGGAGCATAGACCATTGTATCAAAAGGTTGAACTTTCTAAGCTACATCCCTAGTTTCACCTAGTTGAACAACTCATCCACCATCACGTCGAACAACACAGTAAACCCAGTTCCCTTGGGACTACCAGCCCTCACAGAATCTCCCCTTTTCCAGTACGACTGAGCAGATCATTGCTTTGTCACCACCACAAAAAGGACTCCCATCTATCCTTGAGGTGGCTCCTGGGTTCATGCAGAAGGTTCCAACCCGCGGATCGTTGCCCATCAACAGCTTGTCAGCTATTACCAGAGACACCCTCCCACTCACCCAGAAGACGTATTCACCACTCTACGAATCAACGTCAAACCAGCACAAACAACAGAGCACCTACAGTCACCTGTTAACAAACAACCGTTTGAACTCCCGGATGTTCAGTACATTCCCATCAAGGCTCCAGACACCGAACCACCACCTGCTCCATCCACACCAATCAACGCACTGGTTGAACCCCCGATGACAATGTTCACTCAAGCAGACATCGATCAGCGCATCGCAGCTGCTCTCGATACATACTGACTTCAACAATCAACTGCCAATCAACCCCTCTGCCTCGACATCCCTGCTCCAGAACCCTTCAGTGGAAAGGCAGAGGATCTTAGATGCTTCCTTCAATGCATCCTTTCCTACTTTGTCGCCACCAACAACACCAGACTTAGTGATGAAGCAAAGATCACCTTCACTGTAGCGTTGATGAGGAAGGACCTAGGGAAGACATGGGCAGATGCATACTACGAGAAGTCGGCAGGGGGAGTCCAGGTCTATCCTGATTGGGCAGCCTTCGCCACCGCCCTTGAGGAGGCGTTTCCTGAGCACGGTGTCGCAACTTGAGGTCAAGCGACTGGAGAAAACCTGAAAGCTGGGGGCGTCCGACTGATTCTCACCAAAGCGATGGTGAGCAATGCTCAAACCTAAGACTAGGGACAAGATAAGTTAGCATTGGTAAGTAGGTAAGTAATACATGAGCTTACTGACCTAGGGACAAGAGGTCAAAACTGAGGTTCCTAGGGCAGCAGAGGCCGGTTTATATACAGGGGAAGATAAGGGCAGGCTGTGCGCGCTGGTCCGTGCGCAGCTGGTCTGTGCATAGCTGGTCTGTGCGCAGCATGCCGACGCGGCCACGGGGGCTGGTGAGTCAGAGCGGCTGTGTCAGCGGAGCCCGAGCTGTGCTGCGCACTGCCGTCCCATCTAATCTAATCGTACAGTAGATAGTGTCATGTCCATATCCGGTATGTAGTACAGAGGTCGCGGGTTTGAGCCCGCGAAAAGGAAAAAATTAAAAAATGGCTAGACGCCGTGTCAACTCGTGACATTACCCCTCCCTCAACGACGCATGACCTCATGTGAGGTGTCCTTGCCCATCTCCCAACCGGAGCGGCAGCGTGCTTCAGTCAGCGGCGAAGGCACTGGCTGAAAGTTGAGACCACCAAATGTAGCAGCATTGAGACGACGAGGGGCGTTCGGGTTCTTTCGGTGGAAGTCGGCTATGAGGGCCGGTGCATTGGCAACATTGCGCGCTGGTTCCCATGACGTATGCGAATCGTCATAACCTTTCCACTTGATGAGGTACTGCAATTGACGCCGGAAGATCCTCGAATCTTTGATCCGCTCAACCTCGTACTCCTCGTCGCCCTCGACCTCGATCGCAGGCGGCTCCTCCGGCTCCCGGCCTGGGATATCGCTACACGTGTACTTGCTAAGCAAGGAGACATGGAATACCGGGTGCACCGGCACCGATTTCGGCAGGACTAATTCATAATCCAAGTCTCCGAGCTTTCGCCGCACGGCATAAGGTCCGAGGCGCTTGGGACTGAGCTTCTTGCTCGGCTGTTTCAGCTTAAGGTTCCGGGCATCAAGCCAGACCTTGTCCCCCGGCGCAAAGACCGGTGCCTCCTGCACGTGCTTATCGTAGTACACCTTCATACGCTTGGCTGACAGCTCGAGCGCAGAGCGCATATCATCGCGAATCTCCTTCAGGATCTTGAGCTGATCAGCGGCAGCGGGCATCGCGGACATCGGATTGATCCGAACCTGGATCTCAGGATTGTACCCTTGATGCAGGAAGAAAGGGGAGTGCCCGGTCGCGGAGTGAACTCGGTTGTTCAGTGCGAATTCTGCGAGCGGCAATTGCTTTGCCCAATCATCCTGCCTGTGGCTGGTGAACGCATGCAAGTACTGTTCGATCTCCTGATTCCAGCGCTCAGTCTGACCATCCGTCTGAGGGTGGAACGCTGTGGACAGTGCCGGCTCGATTCCCAGACCCTTGTACACCGCATGGAGATACTTCAAAGCGAACTGGGGACCTCGGTCTGATATGACCTTGGCCGGGGCCCCATGATGCTTGAACACATTGCAGATGTACAGGTCTGCTGCACCTTCTGCTGTCAGGGTCTCATGACAGGCTGAGAAGTGGACCTGCTTTGTGAAGCGGTCGGCAGTGACCAGGATCGAGTCGAATCCATCAGACTTTGGCAAGCCGACGATCATATTGCTCATGATGATCTGCCACGGGCGCTCGGGGATCTCGTTCGGCTTCAGTGGACCCTGGGGCTTTCCGAACACTCCCGGATGCGCTTCAGAAGCGACTGATCAGCTGTCACCGAAGCATGGCCGCGTCTGGTAGAGGTGATGCGAAATCTTTCCGGTTTGAGAACCACCTGATCGGTGTTATCGTCCTCATCGCCGATCTGATGGTCTGATCGATGCGACAGGGCATCAGCCTTTCCATTGGACATCCCGGCCTTGTGCGTGATGCGGAAGTCGAAGTGAGCCAGGAACAGCGACCATCGTGCTTGACGACGCGTGAGATGCTGTGACGTGCGCCAGTACTCGAGGTTCTTGTGATCAGTTACAATCTCGAACTGATTGGGTAACCCCTCGAGATAGTGGCGCCAATCGTCTAGTGCCTCAATAATCGCGAGCATCTCCTTATCGTAGATCTCGTAGTTACGCTGGGCAGGGTCCATAGCGTGAGATCTGAAGGCGATAGGGTGCCATTTGCCGTCGTCCTGCTTCTGCATCAATACGCCGCCCGTGGCGTAGCCTGAGGCATCAACCTCAATGCGCGTTTCTTGGTTAGGATCATACAGCACTAGAACTGGAGTCATCGCGAAGAGCCACTTGAGCTCGTCGAAGGCATGTTGTTCCTCTTCGCCCCAATGCCATGGGTCGTTCCCTGTGAGTCGGTCGAGTGGTCGCGAGATCTTAGCGAAGTCTTTAATAAAGCGGCGGTAGAAATTGGAGAACCCCCGGAACTTCTGAACGTCCTTTTTGTTCCGGGGTACCGGCCACTCATTAATTCCTTTTAGCTTTGCGGGATCCATCGCTACCTCATCGCCACCGAACACATAGCCGACGTAGTCGACCTTGGGAACGTCCCACTCGCATTTCTCAGGCTTCAGGAATAGATCATTATCCTGAAGGCGGCGCAGCACCTCGCGTGTGACCTTTTTATGTTTCTCCTTGTTGGTGGAGAAGATGAGGATGTCATCCAGGTACACAAGGATCTTGCCACCGACGATGAGATCATGGAAGATCTCGTTCATCATCGCCTGGAAGGTTGCAGGGGAATTGGTGAGGCCAAAGAACATCACCAGGGGCTTGTACAACCCTCGGTTAGTTACAAACGCTGCCTTCCATTCGTCACTGGCTTTGATCCGGACATTGTTATAGCCCCATCTGACATCGAACTTGGTGAAGAGCGTAGCACCGTGGAGCTTATCCACCATCTCGGCGATCAATGGTAAGGGATAACGATTCTTGACCGTGATCGCATTCAACCGGCGGTAGTCCTGTACGGGTCGAAGTGTCCCTTCCTTCTTTTTGATGAAGAAGAAGGGGGATGAGATAGGCGACTTTGATTCCCGTATGTAACCCTTCGCTAGTTGCTCCTTTAGGAATTTATCGAGTTCCTCCTGCTCGTTGTTCGATAATGGGTACACCTTCGAATGGAATGTTGAGTAGCCGGGCATGAGTTTGATCGCATGATCGTACGGCTTCCTTTCGGGTAGCCATTCTGATGCTTCCTTGGAGAAGACATTCAGGAACTCGTGGTACTGTTTAGGTACCGGCTCCTTGGCGGTCTTAACAACCTTTTTTTTGATCTCTTCCTCAGCGAACAGCTGGGAGTACGTATGCCCGGCTGCGACGAACAGCTGAGGGGCGCCGGGAAGCGTGATGCCTTGCTCCCAGGCTTCGATCAAGTCGGCCTCATCCCACTCTACTTCCGCCGGATCTTCTTCAGGTTCGAAGTCCGGGAGTACCTTACTCCGGCAGGCACCTATGACTGACCGTTTGGACTTTGGCGAATGCCTGCGCGCTGTGGGCCTGACCCCCGTATCATGCGCAGTCGTTGCTTGCTCCATCTGGCCAGTCCTCCTGGCACTGCACGTTTCAGGGCATCGTGATAGCTTTAGGGAGCCCGACTCCCAATCGATCTCGGGGTTGTGTTCGCGTAGCCAATCCAACCCAACGATCACATCCTCTGGACCAATGTCCGTGACCGTAAACACCGTCTTCTTGACGTGTTCTCCTATTTGCATCTGTAGCACTGCTACTTCCGAGATGCTTCCGTCTTTGTTCAGGGTGCCGTCGATATTGTATAGCGGAATCGATTCTTTCAATTTCCGCGTCTGCACCTTATTTTTTACAATGAATCGTTTGTTGATAAACTTTGTGGTGGCTCCGCTGTCCACCATAGCGATTATGTCTTTATGCCGTCTTTTTCCTTGAAGTCATACTGGGATGTGAAAATGTTGGGACCCCTGGTCCAATTCGTACACCATCGCAGTAGACAATACGTTATACTTGTTACAAGATAGTACTCATGGCCCGACGCGTGCGGCACGAAGTGCGGACCGGATCAAAAACCCTCCTCCTTCATCGCCCGATAGTGCTCGAGCTCCTCACACATCGACTTCACCTGTGCCATTAAGTCCGCCAGCTCCGATTGCTCAGATTTCGCTGAAGTGGCACTTATACTTGCCGAGGGTGTCGTCGTGACGGGGGCACTTGTCGCGGCCTGGGTAGAGCCCGAGGCAACCGTAGCCCGCGCGTCGGCGCGTTTTGTGTAAAGTTTATCCTTACAATTGGGGCACTCGAATCATCGGTACCCTTGCTTCCCACAGCCAAAGCAGGTGCCAGGGAAGTTTCCTTTTCTGACGGCCGCATTGATGCTGGCCGAAGCTCCATGTGACGAGGGTGCACCACCACGTGCCCCTCCGCGTCCTCGACCTTGTGCTGAGAAGAAGCTGTTCAGCTCGGGCCAACGAGCCCGGCTGACGTCGAGGATTTGCTCGACCTCGGTGGCACACTTGTCAGTGTCTTGCCACGTGGCAAAGGTTTCGAGCTCGAGTTTGCGATAGATGCGGGAAGGGATGCCGCTCAGGTACTTGTTACGTAGTTCCAGGTTCCCATACCCGGAACGGTCCGCCGGACCCTTGAACAGCGCAGAGAACTCTGCGGCGGTGCGCTTTTTGCGCATGGTTTTGTTGGCACAGAGCTTGGAGAGCTCCACCTGTGCCGCGGCAGCATCGTCGAGATTGCCAAAACGGGCCTTAAATGCTTTAAGGAAGGCCTTTTCGTCGGCAAAGGGGGTTGTCGCTCCCTGGATCCCGATTTGGACAGAGGCGAGCTGGGAGAAGATGGGGGTGGCCCAAGCTCACGCATCACCATCGAGGAGACTGAGGGCAACCTGGATCTTCAGCTCGAGGGAAGAGAGGGCCATGTTGATCGTCCAGTAGATGAGCAACTGCGAGATGAAGCAGTTGCATTCGACCACCAACTTCCCGTCATATTGGAGCGGGAGGAGGAGCTTCAGTGTCTCCTTATCAGGGACGGCAGCAGGGGAGGACATTATCGGCGATGAGGGGGACGAAGGACTGCCCGCGGGCGAAGGCGACTGTTGTGACTGTCCGCCGGGCGAACTTCTCGAGGAACGAGTGCTTGAGCGGCCTCGCAGTGGCGACGGCGGTGAAGTCGATTGAGGAAGCCCGGAGGCAGGGTGACGTAGGATAGGGACTGAAGTCGAGGCGGTGACCGCTGACGACGAGCCGGCCCAAGAATGCGGCGGAGTGTCGCGGGGCTCGGTCTTGGGAGGCCTTTCCAACCGTGGCCCCAGGGAGGACTGGGGGATCGCTTGAGGGGTCACTGAAGGCTGTGTGACTGCCTCAGTTCCTCGAGGGAGATGGGGATCTCCTCGCGCTTGACCTGTACTGGCGACAGGTTGGGGGATGCGGGTGCCTGGAGAGGCAGGTCGAGATGGGACAGGAGTGACGTGATGAGAGGTAGATCACGATGTGCCAGCGTACCGAAGTGCTGGGCCGCTGGGATGCTGGACTCGTCGGATTGGTACGTAGCGCCCTTTGTCGGTGGTGATGGACCGTGGGGTTCGATTAGGGCATGGTTGCCGATCACAGATGAAGAAAGGGGCTAGGTTGTCGTTGCTTTCTGGGTCATCGCGAGAGACGTCGACCTGCTCCTGGGTGTCGAAGGTGTGCTCTAGTCGAGAGCAGTCGAAGAATTCGTCAGCCACAGTGAGGGGGGGAGGAAGGGGAGGTGCGCGTGCTACAAAAGGCCATATAAGCTAGCTTACACCTACGGCACCCGAGGTAACACTAGGGTTCGCAATTCACGTGGGGCCCAGTACTGCTTTTGGCTAGTATGCAGCAGGAACCTAAGCCACGCGTCCGTGAGGACAAGTATCGCCCACTGAAGTGCAGATACCGAAGAGTTCATCCCTTAAGTGGTGGCGATGTATCGTATGCTATTTACGTATCGTAGGGTACAATAGGGGTGTGCACCACCCAACCTATAGGAAAGGAAAGTGAGTTTTTGTGGGGTTCCGAGGAATGCCGGCAGCTTTGTGGAGTTTCGACCTAATGTCGCGACTTGAGGTCTAGTGACAGGGGAAAACCTAAAAAGAGCTGGAGGCGTTCGACTGATTCTCACCGAAGCAATGGTGAGCGACGCTCAAACCTAAGGCTAGGGACAGAAATGTATTAGTTAGTAAGTAAAGGAAGTAAGTACAGGAGAGCTTACTGACCTAGGGACAAGAGGTCGAAACTGAGGTCCCTAGGGCAGCAGAGGCCGGCTTATATACATGGGGAGATAAGGGCAGGCTGTGCGCGCTGGTCCGTGCGCAGCATGCTAACGCGGCCCCGGGGGCCGGTGAGTCAGAGAGGCTGTGTCAGCGGAGCCTGAGCTGTGCCGCGCACTGCCGTCCTATCTAATCTGATCGTACAGTAGATATGATGTGTCCGTATCAGGCAAGTAGTACAGAGGTCGCGGGTTCGAGCCCACGAAAAGGAAAAAATTAAAAAACAGCTAGACGCCGTACCAAGTCGTGACACTATGAGAGTTTTGACCTAATGTCGCGACTTGAGGTCAAGCGACAGGGAAAACCTAAAAGAGCTGGGGGCATTTGACTGGGTCTTACCAAAGCGATGGTGAGCTTATGCTCAAACCTAAGACTAGGGACAAGATAATATATTAGTTAGGTAAGGAAAAAGGAATACAACTAAAGGCTTGCTGACCTAGGGACAAGAGGTCGAAACTGAGGTCCCCAGGGCAGCAGAGGCTGGCTTATATACAGGGGAAGTTTAGGGGAGGCTGTGCGCACTGGTCCATGCACAGCATGCTGACGTGGCCCCAGGGGTCAGTGAGTCAGAGAGGCTGTGTCAGCGGAGCCCGAGCTGTGCCACGCATTGCCGCCCATCTCATCTAATTGTACAGTAGATAGCGACACATCCATATCAGGCATGTGGTACAGAGGTCGAGGGTTCGAGCCCATAGAAAGGAAAAATTAAAAAATGGCTAGACGCTGTACCAACTCGTGACAGGGTACCGGTCAGGCTCCTTCCTGCCGTCTTCGGGAGGTGAGGGGGACTTCATTCGAGGGCGGAATTCATGCTAAGTCCCAATAGCTTAGGGAAGATCATATCATAGATCCCATCACATATATCACGTGCACTATTCAAAATTTTAAACTCCACAATCTTAATCCCCCTCACCTCCCTGTGACGGCTGGCACAAAACATTGGTAAACAGCGGCGCTCGGAGCCGGACCTACTCCATATAGTATTAGATCATGGCCAAAAAGTAAAAGCATAGAACTAAATGATATGATATATGTTTCCGTCAAAATGGACATGCGGTTGCGTTGCCTAGAGTACAGAGTGGTAGCATGGGTGCGCGCGAACACTAGTGCTGCCTGCGATGTCTCTAAACAAGCCCTCCTTGCCGACTCTTGATGCTATCCGGAAGAAGACGTTTGCAAAGCTGGGCCGCGACCCTTGCGAATGGCAGGCGAAGGTGGCGCACGAGATCCTAAGGGCAGAAAAGGATGTTATATGTGTTGCACCAACGGGTGCGGGAAAAACACTCACGTTCTGGATGCCGTTATTGTTCCGAGAGGATGGAATACAGATCGTAGTGACGCCACTTAATATCCTCGGAACGCAGAGTGTAGCCGAGCTGGAGTTGGTAGGTATCAAGGCTGTATCTCTGTGCGCAGAGACAGCAACACCTCAATTGTTCAAGGTATGTTGTTAAACCAATAGTATATGGCTGACGTACCTCAACGGTGTGCCAGGATATCGAAGACGGGAAGTATCGCGCTATAGTTATCAATCCCGAATTGTTGATGAAGGAGGGCGGGGGCTTTGAACGTCTATGGAAGAGCCAAGACTTTGCGTCTCGGATCATCAGTATTATCTGGGATGAAGCGCACTGTGCCAGTCTCTGGAGTGCGTTTCGTACGGAGTACAGGGATGCCTACCGCCTGCGTGATCTTTTGCCTCATGTGCGCTTTGTGTTAGCATCAGCCACGGTGCCCGAGGAGATTCAAATCGAGGTTATGCGAATCTTAATTATGTAATGTAGGTAGCATATTTCATGAAGCGCCCAGTCGCCCAATCGAGGGGACTACCCTCCGAGCGCCGCTGTTTACCAATGTTTTGTGCCAGCCGTCACAGGGAGGTGAGGGGGATTAAGATTGTGGAGTTTAAAATTTTGAATAGTGCACGTGATATATGTGATGGGATCTATGATATGATCTTCCCTAAGCTATTGGGGCTTAGCATGAATTCCGCCCTCGAATGAAGTCCCCCTCACCTCCCGAAGACGGCGGGAAGGAGCCTGGGTACCGGTTAATGAGCGCGGCGGCTTTCCCGTCGGCTGCAGATCCCGAAATTCAACACCCCACTGCACCCTCGTTTACGAATTCCAAATGAGGCATCTGTGATACTTGTCCCAGCACTGATAGCGCCTTTGCGACATTGACATCAATTCCGCTCAATGTATGAAAGCGCTGGGGCAATACGGCGGAGCGCGGTTGGCTGCTGTTGCCCTCTGTCGTCTCTGATTCTCACCCAGGGGTATCTCGCGAAACTTGCGCTTGAGTGCCAGTGAACGAAGGTGCCCATGATTGCTGTAGCATTGCCGGTTAGGTTGCTTCAATAACTGGAGCCTCGAGAGCTATGGGGGAAATGAGATGGGCAAGCGATATATCATGATGGAATCCTGACAGAAAATTTAACATCCGAGGGCATACACATGCCACGGCGAAATTACGGTCCGCACGGAGGAAGACGTGCTGTATGAATATTTCAAATGCTGGACCCGAGGTCCCATCCATCTATCATCACGAGTCGCTTCGCACAAGGCGAGGCAGCGCGGTGTTCTCGGGCTGGCAGCTTTTCGTCCGAGGCTCGATACATGCACAGGACACAGACTCATGCCTGTCGACACCAGAGGCATAATCTCAGGACCTGATGCACGGCTCGTTACTCATAGACCTTATACCTCACTACGGGCGCCGTGAGATGCCTTGAGCATGACAGATATAGGACCAAGAATTTCATCATGCAGAAGGTTCATCCGAATCGGACTTCGCGCGTCGTGTCCGCAGCTATTATCGTCGCAGACAAGGAACTCATGAAATAGGAGCGTGCGGCGATCAAACGGGGGCACACAATCGGGAAGTGAACACGTGAGACAACCAAAGTGTGCGCTTAGCACCAGTGCCGTATGTCGCACTGTCGTGATTCAATAATGCACTTCACATTCACGATGCCATTTTTTATTCATGAGGGTTTTGCACGTCTTATTGAGTCACGGGAAAACCAAAATCCCATTATCATGAAGTGTCAGCACTCGGTAGTAAATCAAGCGAGAAAATGTGTTCAATGGTCACGGCAGTACACTCAAAGGTCAGCTCTGGCTGCAACTTGCCCAACCGGGATCGCTCTTGGATATGTCCATGGCATGCTGTGGTCCCTGTGTCCATTCAGCGTCCTGTTTCACGATGTCAACCATCTGGTGTGCTTCGACGTGAACAAGAACCTCAGGAGGCTTTGTGAGTACGAGCGTGGTCAGTAGGTCTTTGGTAATGAGTACGAAATTATAAGTCATACCATGCGACGAGAGGAAGGAACGGTGGCAGAGGAATATTGTCCTATCGAAGACATAGAACGTTCAGGCTCGCGCGAGTTCAGCGAGGCCAAAATTGTGTTTGTATACACCCTGGGCAGGATTATTGCGATCGCTGTTGGCGGTCCAGAAAGGTGAATAATGATGCCAGGATACCTAGAGGCTCACCAATATGGTTGGGCTTGTCCTAAATACACATTAGTAAATGATTCGTGCGGTATAGCCAGAACATTCTCACCGAAGATAAGAACAGAATCAGGTCAATAACAGCAATTGTTGCGGTCAAAAGCCCTGCATTTATCATGAATAAACAAACAACTGAATGAACAGTATATAGAGCACCATTGGTAACCGTCACTGTTTTTTACCAGGTTCAGAATGGTCACGGACAGTGAAATGTAAAGCGAGCAAACCTCGTATAACCCTATCCAGAAGCTGATTGGACGCCTTAAATCCGGACTTATGACTCTGGAGGAACCAGCTTATTGAAGCTGCAATCATGATATCGCCAATTGCAGCTGAAAGCAGCCAAACAATGCCTGCTGGCCGGATGACGTTGGTTGCAATGTCTGCCAGCTTCTTCACGACAAGAAAGATTGCCCCTCCCGCAAAAGCCCCGCCTAAAAAATCAGCTGTATTGGCTGCATAAACTGAATCGTAAACAGTGCACTCACCCAATGTTGCGATGCCAAGAAAGCAAATAGCGACAGATAGCCATGTCTTTCGCATAAACACTCTAATTCTCCATGCAAAAAAGAAGTGATTTGCACATCCCATAGTTCCCTATTAAACATAGCATTGAGTGAAACATTTAATTTCTTTTTCTAGTGTTCTCACAAGTATGAAAGGGTCTGCAAGGTTGCAAATGGGATGAGCCTGCCGTTCTCTATGTGGAGCAGACATGGATACACACTTGTAGCCATCACTGAGAAATTGTTTAGCCCTTTGAAATCCCCATGTACAACGAAGGAACTTACACCAATTCCCTGTAAGAAATATCCCGGCATCACCCCAGTTGGACACAAAAAGATAGTACATCCTACAACGGTGCTATGATTTGAAAATGTGTCTGCCAGTATTGAAGGTCTTACCACCACGCGGTGAAAATAGTGCTTGCAGTATCCAGCAAGAAGATGAATAGGACGAAGTATCTTAACGCTCTTCGGTCACTACCAGATATCTCAACACGATAAAGAGGCAATCATAGAAGCACACGCACCAGGTGAATCGGCCACGATAAATGTACAACTGACAGAAAAAGTCAAGAATCATTCACGTTGGGTTTGTAAACTCACTTGTGCTATGCCGAGGCCAAACAGAATCATGGATATGAATGAACCTAAAGGCTATTGTAGTAGCAAGTAGCAATTTGCAAGACAACGCTGAACCTTACCAATGAATATGGCGCCGAAACTCTCTTGAATCTGGTGTGCCTCTATAGCAATAACAGTCGGAGTCGACATGATGTAGGCGCTTTGCACCGTATGCCTCTGTAGCCCTTTATGATGTCCCTCTGAGGTCGTGAGGAGGTTTGACTGTTGGATTCCTTCAGTCGGGATTTTATCTGCCTCCTCCAAGATCAGATTGTTCCCTCATGTATGCTCTGATATCAAAGTCACGGTGACGATAGATGTACCATGTCACGACATGTTAAGCCAGTCAACACAACTGGAGCGGAATTACCGTGATCTTGAAACCACATTCTTGCTCGCAGATGAAACTAATAGGTGAGATCTCGACTAGGATAGAAATGAGAGCACCAAAAATATCAATTCGACCGGGTTGACAGCTATCTTCTCCACGCATGTCTTCAGGATCTCCTCTCTCCGGGCTCAATATGACGGCATCGGGCGCGCTGTCGGTGGTAGCCCGCTTGAGTAATCTCAATTCCCACCAGCTACTCCGATAAGGACGCGAGTCGCTAAGAAAGCGGAGCTTCAGAAGTTAGATGTGAGAAGTTAGATGTGCAATTTCAATATATGGATTTCAAAGATATCAATACACTGTGAATTGCTCTCCCGAAACCGGGTCCCGTAAGCTTGAACCATCCGTGACAGCTGCCAGACTGATGACATCGATGACTGATGACAACTTCGGTAGTTGCCCACCCAGCAGTGCTGGCACTGAATGAACACATGACCAAATCCACGTGGTAACGTATCTATATACTTTGATAGATAAATTGTGACTATGATTGCCACCGAAGTGCTGTACATCCTTTGCCCCTTGCGTAGCTGAGAGGAGCAGACATCTTCACCGACCGCGTGCGTCTCATCTGTGACCTTATGAGACCCATCGTGAACAATGAATCCTGTCCAAGATGAGCCGCAGTGGAGTGTCACCACTTGGGAGGGCCGCCAGACTTATTCAAGGTGAGCGCACTGGTAGCTTTGTGCCTAATGATGTTTCTTATATCTGATCTGCTGCAAGGCCCCTAGTAGCATCTGAGCTGCTGTCCGACCAATACACAATATTCCAGGATGGGTAGGGTTTATGTATCGTATCTGAGGATCGCCAGATAACGCGACCCCACTAGTACTACGGACTGTTGCCAGGGACATACTTTCACCTCACCTCTACCACGTGATGAGATCGTTTCCAGGCTGAAAGACGGCATCGGGAGGCTGCGGTACGTACCGAAAGTGTGCAGGTCCATCGAATGCACGCTGATGGTGAAACTGGTATAGATTTTCCTGCCCACTCATCGCGGCGGCCATACAGAAGGGCGTACACGATCCTCAGTTCCGATCTTGGATTTACACCCCAATTTCTAACCGTCGCGAGTTGGATGAGTGGATTGAGGAGACAGTTATAGTTCACCCTGATCCTTTGGACGGTGACGCGTTTCTGGCACAGATCACTTACACTCGGCTCCCGTATGTGCTTCCGAGCGGCAAGGAGAAGATCTTTCGTTGCTACTTCGTTGAAGACCCCGAAGATGAATCAAAGTTCTCTATCCTTTGGCACGGCCCACACGCGATCATGGATGCATGGCCCACCTTTCATGCATTCCGAATCATGTTGGAGGCCATGTCAAAGACAAACCCCGATCCTCTGGATTCTCTATCATGGGGGACGGAATGGAGCAATCTTCCATCGGGTCCTGTGACCTCCACGGGTGGTCCTCGTCCAAACTGGGAGACGGAAGGAAGGAATCTAACAGGAAAGGTCTTCCAGATGCTCATGAACCCCGTGGTATGTACCGCGTAGCTTCTAGTTCTTTGAAGGTTCGCTTGCTCAAGATGGTGACTGCAGCCTACGCTCAGCATACTACCCCAGCGCACCGAGATCACTGTCCGTGGCAGACAGGTCCGAGCTCGTAAAGTACTGGATGAAACAACGTCCGCGAAACTAGTCCAGGCGGCCAGGGCAGCTGGTTTCTCTGTAAGTCACCTGTTCGAGGCGGCCCAGGCGCTGGCCATCATGTACTGCAACGCTATCACCGAGGATGCAGCCAAGGACGCCCATGTAACATATCCGGTCGGAATGTGAGCAGATAGTAAACATCTATGGGTCATTAGCTCATACGTTTCGTACAGAATCTCGGCTGAGAGATTCCGTGTCCCGCCATATAACCGACTGAATCACTTCGTTTCGGAGATGATCCACGTGCCGATCCAAGTCAAGTATGCGGACGTCGTGTCGACAGACCTACCCAAAGACCGGATTCTCACTGCAGCGAAGAGTATCAAGAAGCAATATGATGACTTCATGATGAATGCCCACATTCCTCACCTCACAGCCGCCGTTGTCAAGCTCGCACCGCCGCGCGAGCCAATGGTGGGCTCTAACCCGTACGCAACGGTCATCACCAACTTGGGAGTGATAGACCGCTTGCTTCCCGTAATCTATTACCCTGATGGAAACGAGAGCAAGACACCTGTATTTGAGGTACTGTCGCTGACAGTAGGCCACAGACTCATTGCTGCCACACCGTAAGTTTCCAAAATATTGATCAAAGATAGGTTTTGACAGAAGCTATCATAGTACTACCCAGGTGTTTTCCATGAAATCTCAGCTGACTGTGCAAATTGAGGTATATACACCGAATGAACCTGCGTGATGTTCACTTACATGTCTTTTTGACAGACCAACGACTTATGGGATCAGTCATACATGCAAGAATTTGTCGACGACGTTGTTCGGCAGGCACTGAATATACTCACATGAATGGAGTGTGCGGCACTATAGCATGCATAAACAGCTACGTGGTATGCTTCTTGGTTGGGACAATCTAGGTGCTGGAATTACAAACGCAAATCTGTACGATCGTAGTCATGAACAAATGCAAGTATGTTTTCGCGTTAAGGTAAACATATACGACTGTGAAATTGAGGGAAACTTGTAACATTATGTTGGCGAGCAAGCGCGTCCGAACGCCCCGCGTGCGCGCGCGCATGACGCTGCGTTATCACGTCGGGATCGGCGCAATGTTGACGTACCTCTGGCGTACCTGTTCCTGTAGCTATCGTCCCCTATTTCTTCGAATTTTCTCTCTGGATAGTGTTCCTCACCTCGCGTAGCAATCAATTATGTGCCCGACGTCTCTCGTAACACGGACTTCAGTTGTTGTTCGCACTCCCACTGAAGTCATGAGTCTTTGCCCTCTTACGCTATGTACCGTACTCCCGCTGACGCATTGTAAGGGAATCTTACCTCGTTAGGCATTTCAATAGATGAGTTGTTGTTCGCACTCCCACGGAAGTCCGAATCTTACCTCGTTAGATCTCCCGCTCGCCTCGTGAAGACATTCTTCTCAATTGCTTGGTATTCGATACGAAGTCGAAGTCACGGCGTACCATGAGTGTTACTTTTGCTTTACAATGAATCACTAGTTTGAAAGTCGTGAAGAATAACTCTCTGGTCGCACCGCTAGTCTGCAAGTCATCGGACTTTTGGGACTTCGATGTTTCTAATACATCCCTTTGGTGGTGAACAATCATAAACAACGCGAGGTGATGGAAGAGGCGGATGCGCACGATGTCATGCTGCGAGATCACAAATGATGGCGGATATAATAATTCGCGACACATCCACTGCAGAGTACAACACATGAGATATGAATAATCATGACAGGTGCAGCTGAGCTACGAGGGTAGCTCTCGTTGTACGAGGGTGTATCTGGCAGGCATACGCCTTTGGACGGCTGGAACCGCGATTAAATTGAAAATTCTGCATAAGACCAGATGGAAGTTCACCTAGTAAAACTCTGCGTGAAGGCCACTTCAGGCGTGATCTCGGACCCATTGATATCACGGGCTTTGGTAATGTCAAAGGTTGCTGCGATACAAGCGACAACTAGCCAGATTTCGGAGTCCGCAAAGTGCCTGCCAGGGCAGATGCTTCCATACTATGAGTCAATACAATTGCTGCTACGTGTGTACGGGTTTCATACCGTCGCCCAAATCCGAAAATGTACTTCCGCGGGTCATGGTCATCAGAGTCAGCGTCTTGAACAGCCAGGAATCGCTCGGGGCAAAATTGGTCCGGCTGTCGGTACACTATGGTATTTTGTGTCATGGCCCTAATGAAAAAGCGTCGTTCAATTCCAGTTGACCAGTGTGATGTGTGTTCGGGAGTTATTACCAAATGTTTGGTATTAAAATGGTGTCACCGGGGATATCATATCCCGCGTATGACTCCTTCCTGGTTGTGGCATGCGCAACACCTGATACAGATAGTAAGATGAGATTCCGAAAGGTACCGCGTGGATTAACTCGCCGAGAGGCGCTGGGCTATTCCATCTGTTACAACGTGTCAAAATTAGATTTGTAAGCAGACGTTGCTGTCTCACCGATATAATTCCTTGACAATGCAATTCAGATACGGAAGACAGGGTCTGTCATCGAAATCTGGAAGTCGCGAGTCTCCAACAACCCGGTCAATCTCATCTTGTGCTTTCTTATAGATTTCGGGGTAAAGAACCATCGCCAATATAAATGTAGACAACACAGTCGTTGTCTGGTGTGATAGCTATGTAGGGTAGATGCACGCATTGTTTCAATAGACTTACCGTCTCTGCTGCAGCTAAGATAGCCGAAGATATCAGACCTTTTTTTATTTTGAAACTAATGACCGCGTACCAATGTATATCGCGGTTGCAGCCCCCTTGATGTCTCGTTCATCGACTTCCGTCATCCCATGAGGGAAATGGTCATGTATAATGTCCGCAACGAAAGATGACTTCGCTATTCCTGTGGACTGAAGAGTGACGGTCGACAGATTGATCTGAGTCGCTAAACATCCCTCTCACCATGGCCTCGGTTGCTATCACATATGGTGCGTCCAATGTTTCCTGGATGAGCTTGCGTAGCTCGAGCGCTCGAGCCTTGAAACCCATACCAGGGAGCCACGAAGGTAGAGACCACACTGGAGAAACGCCTCAGCAATAGCCGGTCAAGAAAGAATTTTGAACAGGATAACGCACAGAAAGGGAATAGATCTATGAGAGTGGCCGGGATTTGTCCCGCATCCACAGTCCCTTGTATCGCTCTATCCGCCCTCTTCACAAACACATCGTCAGCAGATGTCATGGTGTGGCCATAGACAATCTCCATTATTATAGCTGCTGTAAATCTGGATCAATGTCGTTACTGTATCTCACACCACAAGACGCAGACGTTGTCAATACCTGCTCAAGTGTCTTTCGAAAAGTGTTGGCGCTTGGATGATGTTTAGCAGAAGGTTTCGCGCTTCCCGCCGCTGCAAGGGTTGGTACTTTGAGGATGACTCCTTGGACTCGAACGCGGCACATATCCACGTCCGATGTCTCTTCCAACGTTTTCCGTACTGCATGAATGCGATGCCACTGTCCCAGCCCAGCCTGCAAGAAAATTCATCAATGTCATTGTCGTCACCATTATATGGAGTTGCATGCTCACATTTCTGTCAAGAACATCATCCGCGGCCTTCCCGAGGTGGCAGAACTTTTCCGGTCCAACAGCTCGCGTGCAACCTTAACAGAATTGAGTACCAGTACCGGTGTCCGGAAAATCCGTGCGTATACGAGGTCGCCTACGGCATGAATGTAGGTTGTATGCTCGGCTAACACGACAGAGAACCGCACCATAGACTCCGCCCCATTGTGCCATAGTATGATGTTGGTGCCCAGCATTCAGCTGATGAACGTTTCCTATGATGGGAAGCGACCATGGTCCTGAAGGTAAGCGCTGAATACTAGCTGTCTTGCGCCGCATGCTGCACCAGATATACGACAAGAAAATGAGTACCAAGTAGAAGTAAATGTAATCCACCATAGGTGAAAGCGAGTTTCAGTTTTCTGACGTTCACCGGAGGGTGTGTATTAGTAGTTTACGAGGCGTTGAAAGGAGGCATATATATCCCACACTTGGTATGGTAGTGTCTCTCTCACCGTCATTACAACAAACAGGTTAGTAGTGGAGCATGGATGTTCGCATAAACATTATGCAAGCTCGCCAGTTGCCGGTCTCGAAATGATGGTACACGGCTAAGATCAATACTGCCATCGGATGAAGGTCCACTCATCACGAATGGTTTCTGATCGCACTAGGATGTCCATACCTGTCTTCAGACTGGTGTGTGCGTGGGTCCGACCAAAGTAGCCCCCCCTTCGATATGGGAATGCGCGATGCAGCCATACGGATTCACGTAATCTTCATGGTATGTATCAGGGGGCAGCACTGAAGGTATGGATTCGATGATCGGTGATTATGATAGACCCGTCTCCATCGGCCTGTGGGGATTCTTAGTCATCGGATCTCGTACCGTCGTTCTGTGTCACCGACGCAAAGGATGCTCCAGCTGCTCAACGTTCAACAACTGAGGTCCTGATGAAGGGATGGAAGCTTTCCATTGCGTTTGAGGGTATTGAGAGCTGCGAATCCCGCTGGTTAAACTGAGGTCATATTGAGTTTACTTGGACCTCAGTTCGGTCCGACCGAATCTCCTGCCTCAATACCTGGCATAGATCTTGACTGAACCTACACTCAGTTTCTGTGAAGCGGCTCGGGGTCCGGAACCAGGATCGAGCTTCGGACGGGCACGCTATGGTCCTCCGCCGACTGGCGTCGGGGCGTATGGCAGGCTCCTAAATTCTGCCGTCCACAGCGTTCACGCTCCCCCGTCTCTGACGCAAGGCTCGTCCACACGCCTGACCCCAAGTGGCAGCGGCCCCATCTGGATGTTTTGTATGAGTAGAATTATCGTGTGAAGAATTTCCTTATAGAACTGCGAGCGCACACCAAAGCTGGCGCGCTAGGGTATTTCGCGATAGAACAATGGTGTATAACATTTGAAAATACCGCTCTGCCTGGAGAGTCGTCAAAATGAGTCTCATTGTAGAAAATACCTTGTGGTTGTGTTCTACCGTGGTCAGATCGGTGTCGGCATTCTTCTCAGCACGCCAGTCACGTAGCCTTTGACATCAGGCGAGCGCTCGCAATTATATAAGGAGATCCTTCTATCTACTCATACGAAACCTCAGTTGCGCTCTCGTATGTGGCAGTGTGAATGCTGTGGACGGCCGATTTCAGGAGTAGTAAGTATGTATCCGGTTAGGCGCCGATGTACACGTGGACTCCTTGTTACCCATCAGCGGTCCAACGCCGCTCCGAGAAGCCGGTATCAATCACGAAAATTTGTCAGATGCCAGGTTGTGACGTAACTGAGATGCATCCCAGATACGCACAGCGAGGCTGCTGCCAGTTTGCAACTATTGACAGGTGCGTGTTCGTTCACGGATTCCTAATTCGTTGCCCTTCGGAGAACGTCCTGGATGCACCAAGCCGCACTCGTCTTCCTGCTTCATCTGAATGAAATTGACCAGTTTCGTATATCATGACCATTGTTTGTTTGAATTTGCTACCACTCAGCAGGGTGTGACACGGAAATGTTTCTTTCGAGCGCAAGGTCCAGGCGCAGCTTTCAATGTTAATTATCTTACCTGTTCACAACATTCACAAATACTCCGTGAACACCGGGTCCTTCGTGCAGAATGAGACCTGATAGAGCGTACTGTGAGCGGCTGCCATTTTGTCCTTGTGTTCGTCTTTGAATCTCCTTCGCCCGCAAACTACCGTCGTGCCCGGGTGGTTCGCTGGAACAATTATCGCCCATTGAGCACGTACGACCTCTAAAGCGTCGTGGACGTCATGCGATACTTATGCTCTTTCCGGCGTCGTGCACTCCAGTCCCCGTGCAGTGAGTGTCTTGCCGCACCAGACGATGCGGATTTTGCCTCTCCTTCTTCTTACCGACCTTTCACTTTCAGAACCGACAGAAACAGTTGTCCCCAGCTTAGCCTTTGGGCCCACCATCAGCGTCCCCTACGATACCGTCCACGACGCGTTCCGCGCTCAGGCAGAGGCACACCCGTCGCAGACCGCCGTCGTCGACTTCACCGGCCATTCCGTATCCTACGGCGAGCTGGATCGCCTGTCAGTGCAGCTCTCGGTACGGCTGCGTGCCGAGGGTGTGGGCAGCGGCGCCCGCGTCTGCCTGTTGATTGAACGCTCCATCGCGCAGACCGTCGCAATCATGGCCGTGCTGCGCGCGGGTGCAACGTACGTCCCCTTGGATGGCTGCATCGTTACGGACGACACACTGGCGTCCATCCTTGAGGATGCGCAGCCCGCCTTCACCCTTATTGAGGTGCTATATGTCCCGCGCACCATGCATCCTCACGCGTCATGGATGTCTGGAGGACATGATTGCAGAAGCGTCCAGTTCAGAATCATCATATGCGGGATCATTGTCTGCGTCTCTCGCATCGTTTGACAATGCATATATCATTTACACATCTGGTATGTCTCGATTTTCAGATGATCTAGCGTTGTGGTTATTCTGACTTACGTCCTAAAGGAACAACTGGTCGGCCCAAGGGTGTGATCGTTAGCCACTTCAATGTGTGCAACTGTGGGTCACTTGATTCCTTCAAGACACGCAGAACTCTGACGCTAGCGTCTCGCAGTGCTGTGTCTTTCTCCGGGAAACCTTGGGATCCGCCCCGGGACTCGCGTCGCGCAGCTTTTGAATGTTGCATTCGACATGTGCGCGTGGGAGATCCTGGGGTGCCTCATGAATGGGAATACGCTGCACCTCCGCGGGCCCCACAGGCAGGACTGGATCAAGATCTTGAAGACGGTGGACGTCGTTATCAGCACGCCGTCTATCCTCGCGCAGCACGGCCCTGCAGACTACCCAAACATCCGCATCGTCGCGATGGCGGGGGAGCCGTGCCCACAGGAGCTGGCAGACAGGTGGGCACAGTGCACGACGTTCTGGAATTGTTGCGGTCCTACAGAGGTATGTATCGGAAACGCACTCAGTATTACTGACGGTCCCCGGGCTCTCGCAGACGACAATTGTGAATACCATGCACCGCCATACCGCAGGCGCGCTGAACACGATTGGCAGCCCGACGCCGAACAATTCGGTTTACGTCCTTGACTCCGATCTGCGCCCTGTTCCACGGGGTGAGGCGGGAATAATGTGGGCTGGTGGAAACGGCGTGTGCAAAGGGTATCTCAATCTCCCGGATCTCACGAGTGGCAAGTTTGTGCGCGACCCGTTCGCGCCCCAAGGGTGCGTCTGCGCACAGCGTCCATCTGCCACATGATTCCCCGCTCGTTATGACGCTCAGTCAGCGGTGTAATGTACAACACGGGCGACATAGGTCGGCTGTGGGACGATGGCCAGCTAGACCATCTTGGGCGCGTCGACGACCAGGTCAAGATTAAGGTAGGCCCCTTGGCGGCGCTTCTGAGGCTCTGTACGTTGACGCTGCGGTGTGGTACTGTACAGGGATTCCGCGTCGAGCTAGACGGCGTCAGCGCTGCGATACACGCGTGTCCGGATGTCACGACGGCCTGCGCGCTGCTGGTAGAGCAGGACCTGTGGGCGTTCTACGCGCCTGAGCACGTCTCTGCTTCACAGGTTCGCACGGCCATGATGAATGTGCTGCCGTACTACGCTGTGCCTTCAAGATATCATGCGTTGTCGTCGATACCACTTACCTCGTGAGTAGGAACGGTGCATCGGGAGTTCTCACCGCTAAGTCTAGTTATGTAGAAACGGCAAGATTGACAAATCGCGTCTCCAGAGCCTCGTCAAAGTGCAATCCTAGCTGTTTAGGTTTCACCATTCACCTGTTCATGACTTTGTTCCGATAGAAGCATCAATCTTATGGAGAGCTATTTGTTGAAGGATTTTGCATAGAGCACCAACGTCTGCTCGTGGACCATATTGTTCACTACAATCTGTGTAATCTTCATGTTAGCGAGTTGTTAATGTATTGCTGTATACGAGAGATATGCTCGCTTCACGGCGATTAACTGTCAGTACCATGTTGACTTATGGGTATATCGAGCAAGCACCGCTACCATCCCGAGTCACGTGGTCAGTGCGCCGGTGTGAGAATCGCACATATGTAGGCGTCGCGCACCGTAGGCATCAGAAGAACTTTAGAAATGCTTGCTAGCAATTGCGGCCTTCAATGGCAAATACTACCAGTGCTTCATGTTCCACAGGATTACCAGACGCTCGAGGGTCTCAATGACAGCCCCGCCCTCTACTGTTGTCCACTGCAGTGGCAGGGGTGCAACACTGAGTTCCGGACTCTGCCGGCAGGTGGAACCAGAAATGCGAAGTTTGTCAATCCAACAGACCTATGCGGAAGATCGTTAAATGGATGGCTAGCGCCAGGAATGGGCTAGTGCTCCGAGAGGCGAGGAGTCAGAGTCATCAGAGCCGTCATTTGGGAGAGCATTAGGGTTTCGTCGATGTCGCTACTTGGCACGGCGTCTCACCGGAGTTCAGATGTCCTTCGGACGCCCTTGAGGTAGGGACTGAGGCTTATTCAAATCGAAACCTTGTATTCCAGTAGTTGCTACGCCAATGTGGCCTAGGCGCCCATGCTCCCATGTATCTTCTGTGCTCGTGTTAGCATTGATTCTGGCTTTTGAAACCAACATCATGCGTAATGGCGTTGCCCTTGACCAATCCTTGTTCTATTCATCGTGAACGTCTTCATAATACATACATTCATGGCTGTACCCATTGATTTACAAGATGTATCTGAAATCACGGTTCTGTATATCTGTGAGGTCGAGGTACTCCTTGACGACAAGAACGTCAAACCCGGCAAGCACCATGAAGAAGGGAAATATACCTTCTGTACTTTCCGCTCGACATGCGAGCCATCTGGAAGGGTGACCTCGATGTACACATCGTCGTACTTTGTGTCTGGTGGCTCCGCATCCCTTCGCTTGTTTTCGCGCCACAACAGGAAGCGAATGATGAGCAGAATAATCATGCAACACACGTAGCAGATCCCGATGACGGTCCACGGGACATGGTTCCTTTCCAATTACCCGCGTCTTAAGTTAGGATCCTGAGTGACAGCTGCTGACGCGGCTTACCTTGGGACGTATTTGGCTTGCCACATGAACGGACCGGCGGCGTTGCCCACGCAGTAAGCGATGAGCATTATCGCGTTCACCGTGACTTTCTTTGTGTGTCCCGCGGTAACGTTCGTAATCCAAGACAGCTGAAGCACGAACGCGGTCACGCTAATGGCTGTTCAGACAGAGTTAGGTCTGTATTCGTCCAAGAACCTAAACCCACGTACTGGTCATCCACTGTCCAAATAACAGCCCAACCTTGTCCGTCCAAGGGAGGAGATTCACGAGCAGGATGCCGAGGAGTGTGGGGATGAAGTAGATCACGCCGACGTAGGCCCGTGCGTTGGTAAAATATGACGCGATGTGCACACCTGTGAAGATCGTGACGATCTCGACGACGCCGCTGACCATCGCGAGCAGCGTCGTCTGTAGGCTCGTGAAGCCAAACGACGCCATGATGATCTGCTGCTGGTTTGTCAGGCTGTTCGGCACGTTATCCAGTGCGGAGAAGAGCGCGAAGAGCCACGTCTTAGGGTCGAGGAGCGCCTCATAGAACCTGACGCGACACTACGAGTTGGAAATAATCTAACGCAAAACGAAATTGAGGACATACTGTTCCTTTTTGAAGCGCTTGTTCTCGACACCTGTTTGGTTGCCCTGTTCGGTTGACCTGTGTTAGAACGTATACTGCTGCGGAATGCTATCGTGTACCTTGATGCGTTGCACAGCAGTGACTCGCTCCTCTGGCGCGAGGAACCATGCAGTCGTAGGGGAATCGGGGAACATGAACCTATGGCCTAGGTCAGCTCACGTCGTGTTTAGGCCTGCAGCACGGACCAGAACGCGACCGCTGTAATCAGAGTCAAGAGGCCGGTGATGATCACAAGCCTACGATAAGAGTGAACAAGCGCACTTGACAGGAGGAGTACAAACATACCATTGCCACGGCTGAAAGCCTCCCGTTTTGGAATGCAGGACACCAAAACTTATGAAACCAATGATGATCTGGGCTGGTTCAGGATATCAGAACGAGACGGCCTAGTACGCGCTGGATGGTGACATTGCTCACCTGTCCCGTTCATCAAAACTGCCAGAGGTTGCGCAAGTAAGCTTTGAGGACGCTGGATAAACAAACGTGCTTACACCAATAGCCCACGCGAATGGTCTGCTCTTTCCGTGTGTAGAACATAGACGTCACGATCATGAAGCCGGCCGTAATGGAGCCCTCGCACATGCCCAGAATGAACCGACATGCCATTAGTCCACCAAAGTTCTTGCATGCTGCATGGGAGCATAGAGCGATTCCCCAGACGAAGATGTTGATGCTGTTGACACGTCAGCGACGTCAGACTGACAGGTGAGTTGTGCCCTGACCTCATCCATTTTCCGACTGGGAATCGCTGGAGGGCCAGATTCTGTGGATACTCGAATGCGAGGTAGCTCAGATAAAATATCGTTCCAAGCCTGGTATCGGCGTTGAAAAACAACGACCATCAGATTCGGTGTAAATCATACCAATTATACCTATGGACACATAATCAGCAGCTGCGCGTGTCAACTCCCTGAAACACTCACTCGTTCGTCGTGAGATGCGTAGCGGTCCTGAAAGTGTTTGATGTTACCTCGACTGTGAGCGCATGGCAGAACAGTATACGCACTTGATTCCAAGAATCGCAGAACTCCCTAGCGTTGTCTTGTCCATGAATTGAATCCAGTACAGGACTTCATGGCAACGATCGATCAACACTACAGATCAGGAATCTAATGTAGAAGTGCATACCACACATTAAAGGCATTATGTGCCGGTCGATCTTCTTCCGCAACCGCAGTGCCTCCTTGGGATCCACTTCCTCAAACGTACCTGCAACGAGCCGAGCACCCGTGTCGACCTCTTCGCTGGCCGCAGCGACGTGGACGTGGGTCCTCTTCTCATCGTCAATGGATCCTGCCTTGTCCAGGGACTCTCGAGAACTCATGACGAGACGTGAGATGCGAGCTAGCGGGCGCGCGCAAGAGAGAGGACCAAGCGGTGAGAAGGGAGCCCATACCAAGCCCAACCTAATAAACCATCCGAGCGCGCACCACGACTATCAGGAAAATGCTCTTCGGAAGGAGCGATAGAGAGCTTCTCAATGATCTCGATACTGTCCAACATGGTCATGAGGAGCTGGGCGCTCTTATCTGTTGGCGACGGAGGCTTCAAATCACCTCGCAGTACATTCAAACCAAGACATGTAAACGTTAGCAGACGTCGCAACGTGATATAAGAAGGGACTGAGAGGCCGACGATGCAGGATGTTGTCTGAAGTGTTGTGCGAGTGGTGGAATAGTCGATACGTATAATATCGAAAAGATTACGACTAATTACGACCATCAGACGACCTTGGCGAGGGCGCCTACACGACCGTGGGAATGCGCCCCCGGAGATTTTCAGTCTGAATCCACTCAGTCTTTTGCTCATGTCTTCCTTGAAACACGATACATGGCACCATACAATCCTGTCAATCAACTCTCAAAGTCCATGCCGTAGTGTGCGTACTTGCTGGCCCTTCCAAGAGCACCAAGGCACATGCTATAACTGAAGCTCGTCACCGCCGTGGCAGTCCTTTGCCTATATATGCGGTCTCATGGACGGGAGGGCTATCGGAGAGCTATCAATGCGATAGCATAGCCAAATAAGATCCTCAGAACGGGAGCAAATCGTTATCGCACGGGCGCCTTGGCGCTTGATAAGAGGAATAGCAAAAGGTCTTGACCCTTCAGGCACGGAGACAAAGACCTCGCAAGCAAAACCCGGATAGCCTGAGGAAAATCTAGCTGCCGGAACGGATTGTGAGATGACGTACAACTACGCATCGACACCGTGCACGGTGACTCACCAATCGCGGCGCCGCGTTATGCCCCAAGACGACTTCATACTGTGCTGCTGAAACGTTACCTCGAAAGAATTTCCTTACGTTGCGATATTTACAGGGCTCACTAGGTAGTCATTCCAAAGGTCTTTAAAGGAGGCACCGTGCTTCGTGTTGGAAGTACAGTCGACACTTACTGCAGTAGATAACATGACCGCGTATGGTACTTACACCGTTCGTTCTGGACTTGGTTCTTTGCTGATGCTGGCCACAAGCTGGGTCAAACACCTTTGATTCTATCGTCCTCAGTCTCGTTCCCTGCGAGAAATCTAACAATGGGCAACGCTACCACTCTTCCATCCACGCAGGGCTGAGCAACCCGCCCTCGATTGCTTGCGACCGTGGACGTATGACACATTGAAAGTCTGCGACATGCCTGGAGGACCTACGGTATGAGTGACTATAAGAATACACACGGTGCACACCTACCTGATGGACCCAGAAGGAAACGCGGGTACAGGTATAATAGTTGCACCGTCAGGTCCTGTAGCTTTACAGATGTTAAGAGCCGCTGCGATGGTAGCAACCGCGAGCCAGAGACTAGAATCGGCGAACTGTCTCCCCGGGCATATGCTACGGAGTTATGTAAGTGTCTCAGTACGATTCCATTACTCGCACTATACGAGTCAGACTTTGCGTACCGCCGTCCGAATCCAAATACAATACCCCGCGGGTCGATGGCTTGCTCCTCGCCTTTGGTTCCATCTACTCCATAGCTCATGAATCGTTCGGGTAGAAAACGTTCCGGGTCAGAGAAGATAGTCTCGTCGCGAGTCATCGCCCTGGAAACATATCAACATAGATATACAAATGCAGCTCAAACGGGTAAGCGGGGACTCACCACATATTAGGGATTATGGTCGATCCTCTGGCGAGCCCGTAATCGTGGAAAGTGCAATCGGTCATAAGCCTATGTGGTACTCCTAGACGGCTTTGATTTACAACAAGTGATGACGACAGAGATGATACTTGCCCAGTGGGACGGCACAGCTCCAGCTTGCGCAGGTGTATCAAGTTGTGAGTTGAAATCCACGGTGTTTCAATTAAACCTACCGATAGAGTTCCTTCAGCACGTTCTCCACATACGGCAGAGACGCTCTATCAGTCAAATTCGGGAGGCGGCTTCCACCAACTATTCTGTCGAGCTCTTGTTGGGTCTTAGTGTACACATCTGGATGGAGAACCATCGCTTGAATGAAGGCGGTTAGGGTTGTTGACATCTAACGTATCATGATAAGAACAAAGGAGCCAAAGTACATGTATGTCGTACCGATTCTGTTCCGGCTATTGGAGGAGCGTGTTAAGGTACGTGAAATGGTAAGTTGTGGAATATAGGAGGATCACCTGCATACAAAACCGCTGCCACGCATTTGATGTCATATTCATTGTACTCAGCGGAGTCACCTTCCTTCCATAGAGCTTCTAGCAGGGAAGAAGTCAAAGACGGTGTTGCATTCCCCGAAAGCTACGCTCCTGTCAGCTGACCTGGGCCGATTGTTGACGTACAGCATCTACTCACGAGTGCGTTCTTGACAGTCTGGAATGGTGCATCTTGCATTTTGGTCCTGAGATGTCGCACATAAATGGCCCTCCTCTTGAATCCAGCCCCGGGCATCCATGTGGGAATATATTTGACTGCCATCATGAAAGAGGATTGTTAGCGCAATGCGTGTGTCACATGATATATATGAAACTCGCGAATGGGAAAGAGGTCGACCAGTGTGGAAGCAGGGCCACCTGCATCTGTAGTTGCTTTTAAGGCAAGTTCAATCAATCTAACATGTTCGTCGTCGAGCGACTTAATGTCGTGGCCATATGAGATGTGCATCGAGAAGGCAGCGGACCATCTATCCAGAAGATATGCCGAAACACTATCAGCGTTGGTACAGCTGGATTGTTTTACTAGAAAGAGACAACCTCTGGATGTGTAGCGTGAATGCGTCAGGTGTTTGAACCAGTCCAGCGAGCAGCGTAAGCGTCTCCCTACGCTGCAATGCTGGCAGATCGATCACGTTGTGCTTGTTCTGAATGATATCTTGAACCCATCTGCGATATCTACGCCATTTGTCACCGTACGGCATCAATACCATGTCGTTTTCCATGCCCATTCTGTTAGAACATCGATCAGCCAGCAAACTCGTTCAGGGGTGCAAGAGACTCGCAGATCAGAGAATAGCACAAAACGTGGTCTATCCGATGCAACAGCACTTTTAGCCTCCATGAGATCTTGTGCAACGCGCAACGAGTTGACAACCAGCATTCCTGTATAGAAGAAGCGGAGGTAGACTAATCCTCCTGAAACAAGAAAGCTAGTCAGAGGTGCAGCTTCTTGGGACACAAGGACTGTTCACCATATTGACGAGCCCATAGGGTAAATGCCTCATGTGGCGACCTCCAAAAGAGCTGATAAGCGTTACCTATGAGGGGCAGCGACGTTGGACCAGGAGGCACGGGCAGATGGCGACGTTGACCCGCCCATAGGAAATGTATTACGCTATAGGCGATGGGGAGAAATAGGGCGATGCCTACACATAGGAACACGTCATGGACAGGAAAGGTATCCATGTAGCGTATGCTGCTGGACGAGATGGAAAGAGGTTGGCTCCAGGAGAAAATATGACCTTCGAAGACAACGCGCGGTGATCACAATCCAGTATTTGTCGCGGCTGGATTCAAATGATATTAGGAGTACAGCCTGTGTGAGGATGACACAACCTTATCTAGTTCATGTGATTAATTGACATTTTGCTCACCGATTCACCGTCGATATACATTCCCACCGCAGAAGCCAGAAATATATCTATGGTCCATATGCTATCACAATAGAAGGGAGTCTCGGTGTAATCAATTGGAATGCAAATCGTGCGAATCCAGCTCTGTCATGCATCAGATGTCGGTCTTCTCGTACCTCACGTGGTGCCAGTGAATCGTTGTACTGGTTGCTGGGAATGGACAGTTACAGTAATTGTCCGTTCTGCATTCAGTTGAGAAGCCCGAGAGCCTCCAGGAAGAAGACCGGAGCATATACTGCCGCACGCGGCTGACGGCTCTTCCGCAAGGCAAGGCACTTACTTAAGATCGCGGCCGGCTAGCATCAGCACGAGCGTTGATTGGGACGACGTCATAAGCTGACTGCGATTAGTTTGGACACACCAGATCCTCGCATGCGCGCCTCTGGAGAGACTGGGATAGCTGCAGATATTCAATCATACGTCCCGTTCCACAGTCGTTTCACACCCTATAATAGTCTACCAAAAGCGCAGACTCGCCGAAGAGCGTGAGGAATGAAGGAAGGAATTCAACCTTCCCCGCGAGAGCGCCGCTCTTCAGCCTGTTCGGGACGCTATGTGGCCTTGTTTGTACTTAGTGGCTCACCGGTTTTTGCCGTATTTTCGCCCATTTCGCTCCACAGTTATTTATCTCGTCCTTCTTGCACGTTTGCATATCATATATGCACTTTGACGAACAAGGGTTCAGCCCCCGGCCTGGCGGCACCTCCAGTCTAAATCATTGTCTTATCATTGGACATTTCCGGTAAGGCTGCGCTCTGCGTCCTGCTAGTGGTATACACAAACGGAATAATTTCTGTGCGCGCTACAGGCAGCAGCTCATGGTACCGCTTTGCATCTTCAAGCATGATGTCGACGGCTACCAAAGCAGTAGGATTCTGCAGTTCCTGGTGTACATCGAAGCTCGACGCCAACTCTTGTGTAACGGCAATCATGCTTGCGAACAGGGCATTGTGATACTTGTATACATATTCCTGTTTACGCCTCAGTGTTTCCTCTCGCTTTTCAGGCGTGAGAGAAGCAAACGCAGGCCTCATCGCCACTTTCGGTATGATCGAGTCTGGCGCGCTCCACTGCACTGCTGCAGCCACGACCATGATGGTTGGAGTTTACTTGAGTGGCATTTCGTTTAGCCTCTTCTCTGCTAACCTTTATACTCCGCTCGCGGTAAGGCATTGCCCTTCCCCGTCAAACTTCGCGTGTCCTTCGTTGACTGAAAGGAAAGAAAATGTTTCTATAGCAACGAGAATCCGGTCGGCGAGCGCGTTTATCTATGAGCGTAGCGGTGCCTGTAAATGATAATTGCGTGCGGTACGTACGTTGCGAACACCCGACTTTCTACCACGGATCCCCGGGCCCCGACTAACATCGTGCCCGAGTGCGCGGGCTCGTTCCTGACCGCATGTTGCAACGAAGGTCACTACTTGTCTTGCTCGTGCGTGTTGTACTTGGTCGAACACACAAATAACCTGCCGCATCAAAGCGCACGAAAGCGGTGGAGGAAGCATACGAGGTGGCAACAATCCAAGCCGCTACGCAGGCCTGGGATCTTAGCTATCGTACTTTGTCCTCGAGTCTACTATGTCTCGCAGAAATCTCTTGTCAACTTTGCCATTGCTGTGAATTGATCAATTCCAGCTACAAGCACCACAGAGTGCTCCTACCTGGTCAACGGAATTGAACTTAGCGCCTTGTACTGTGTCGGAACAGCGTAGTATGGTTGCGTCCTCGCAATAGCTATACGCACATCCTCTATGGCTATATGCGGGGGAGTGTAGAAAGCCCATATGTCTTGCTTGATCAGGAGCGCACACGCAGACACAACGCCTGGACAAGCGCGTATTGCTGCTGAAACACCATCTAGCTCGACGCGGAAACCCTTCATGGTTTTGGCATCAGAATCAGTAAGGCCTTCGAACTTCGTACTCACTTTGACTTTGACTTGATCGTCTGAACGTCCCATGTGGACCAAGCTCCCGTCTTCTTTCATGACGCCCAAGTCCCCGGTATTAAACATGAGCCCTCTGAGTGACATCTTGAGTGTACGTGAGACGGAGCACATGATGCACCCACCCTTTGTGCGAGAAAGGATCTGGCTTGAATTTGATCTCGTTGAGACTAGGTCGTTTCAGATATCCTTGACAGACACCAAGACCACCTGCCCACATGGTGCCCTTTCTTCCGCGCGCGACAGGCATGAGATCGTCATCCAAAACATATACGGAGCTGTTAGGAGTCGGTGTTCCGATACTGAGAGACCGCCCTGGAGAGTGCTTATGCATAGTGTTGAGGATACTGACCTGGACATCGGCCTAAGAGAAGGAAGGAAGGGCGAGAACGTATGTGTCATACCTCCGTCGGTCCGCAACAATTGAAATACGTCGCCTGCGCGGCCCATTGGTCTGCTAGTGCTTGCGAGATGGGCTCTCCGCCTGTCGCGACTACTTTCAAGTTGGGGAAATCTTGAGGTCGGTGCTGTTGGAGAATGGACGGGGTGCAAATTACAACATCCACTGTCTTCATGACCGAAATCCAGTCTGCACGGTGAGGGCCTCGCAGATGCAGAGTACCGCCGTTCATTAGACATGCGAGTATCTCCCACGCGCACATGTCGAAAGCGACGTTAAGCAGCTGAGCGACGTGAACTCCAGGCTTAACACCGAGGTTTCCAGGATAAAGACATAGCACTATGATTGGTACCGATGAGGGATGTATATGACATGTTAGAACCACGACGACGCACGATTTGTCAAGCCTAGATGTTTGATAATGACCCCCTTTGGCTGTCCCGTGGTCCCTGAGGACAATGATAAATACGCTGTTAGTGCAAATACGATTGTGAGACCCTCACCGGAGGTGTAAATTATATACGCTATATCCTCCTCGCTGGTCTCATACGGGAGCTCTACCACAAGCATGTCGTCGGTGCCCTTGCAGTCTTCAATCATATCCTCAAGACAAAAGTGAGGAGTCGTGACCTCATCCCCGCGGCCTATATACCTCTTGGAGATCAAAGTAATGGTAGGCTGCGCGTCTCGCATAATCTGAGTGAGGGAACTGCCAGGAATGACGCCGCCATCTAGAGGAATATAAGCAGCCCCTGCGCGTAAGACAGCGAGGATTGCAATGATGTATGCGTTGGACCGTTCAATGAGGAGACATACGCGGCTTCCATTCGTGACACCCTGTCCACGCAGATTTAAAGCCAGGTGGAGGGATAATACGTCCAGCTGTTTGTATGTCAACGATTGACCGTAATGATCAACCACAGCGGTGTGTTCTGGGTTTGCAGCTGCTTGAGCGCAGAACGCATTCTGAATGCATCGGTACGGGATCGGCTCCTCCGGCCCAAACGAGAGACTGGGCTCTTGACATGTAGGCCAATGGACTGACGCGGAATGAGAGCTGGTATCAGGGATTGGACAAAAATTGGGGTCCATACTCAAAGAAATCCCTTTCAAGGAGCTGAAGAGTGGTCTCCATCCAAAGAATGAGCGAAGAGGGAGCATGAAAGTGAAGTGTTTTCAGAAACGGGGCGAGACTGTGGCGTTGCATTCAGCCGGATGCTACACTTGCCACACACAATATAAGCATACATGTTGTCTGCGTAGGCTGTGTTCAGGAAGTACTGTGCAGCAGACAGCTTCACTATACACACGCTGCTATCACCAACCAGGGCGAAACGAGTTCATCTCATTAATTTCACTTGCGAAGTGCGCTCAGAAATACAAGTAGATATGTACGAGCGGCCGCCGACGCGCGGTACAAGGGCCGTCTTGCTTATGGGAATGCGATGCATCATGAGAAGAGTCCACTGAGTAGAGTTCATCGATTCGTCTCGGTCAATGGAAGTCAGAAGTCAGCGCTGATACCCCAGGCTGGTATGGAAAACTCTGACTCAATTGCAATTATTCAATTACGGCAATGATCAAGGCCTGATCCGGAATCTACAAACATCTTGATATGGCTGACAAGCCTCCTCAAGCACCGAGACTCATGTAAAACAAACGCTGCCCTTGAGGCTGTTGATTACGGAGTCGTATCTCTGATACAAGAACTGGCATACGTTGTGAGGGGGTCAACTGGACGAGAATCATGCCAGTTTGTGTGTACTGGCACAAATCATTCAGCAGAAAGACTCATGCCGTGAATTGAGAACGAATTGATTCCATGCAACAATGCGCACGTATCGACCGCATGTGATGTAATGGGAACCTCGTTTGTCACGTATCAGAGATATGAGAGGTCGCCGTTGTGCGCGGAGCATGACGCATGCGATTTTGTGCGGCGGACCAGCGGATGTTAGATGGACCATGAGAGGGCATCAGGACTCACCTTGTGAGCCAAGAAGCAGGATCTGTTGAGTTCCGTCGTGGTACTTCCGCGCTTTCCAGGTACTCTCCCGGAGCTGGGACACATGCGCAACAGTCTTCCGGGCTCGACGTCTGTGATCCGGATCATTCTGTAGACCGCCTGTGGGAAGATGGCCCGCAAGAGCCGAAGACCAGTTTATGGAAGCAATTTGCACATCAAATTTGATAGAGCGGTCGAGAAGCTTTGACTGGGCACAAACCTCGGAAGCGCGGACGAAGGAGCCTTGTGATGAATAAGTGAAACCTTCTATACGTGGCAGACGGCTTTGATGCATAGCAATGGCAAAGGCGGATCGGTGGTGTATGAAATGGCACAAGAAGGACCGTGGGAGCGCGCCGGAGCGCAGGCGCTAATTGGAAAGAGCTAACGGAATCGAGCTCTTACGCCTGGTCAGCCACATAGAATTCAGGGATCATTCGCATGAGGCACCTGCGGACAATGATTTGACTGATTATCCGTTATGACCGGCGAAGCTCAGAGCGCTTGTAGGTGTTTCGAGCGGTGATCTGCACAAGTTGACCCGAGAAGTACTCGTGAAATGTTCACTCGAGTTCCAGACCAGTGTCACATGCGTAGGCTTTCAAGCTTGAACCAGTGACATGAAATGATTGTAAATTGTCACTTCACGACGGGCTTGACGGGGAAGAAGGGATTTGATTTACTTCGTATCTGTACAGCCTGGACTCGGCAGCCGGCTTTATCACATGCACCAGAACAATTATCCTCGGGTTGGATCTTCATACCGAGACAAACCCAAAGCCCTCGTAGCGTCTGTACATGAGACGTGGGAAGCTAAGTTAGATGCACTTTTCTCAGCCATCGCGCACATCATGAAAGTTCCACTCTCACAAGGGTCGCTTAGATACCAATATCCGAAGTAGAGGCCATTATTGGAGTTTGACCAGCTGCACCATCTCAGCGCCACCAAATTTATTTTGCGAGATGCCAAGTATATCAAAGAATTCTCATGATTTAGCGGTATACCCAATGTCAGCCTCAGTCTCACCATAACAGGGAGATTCCCTCGGTGAGCCCATCGACTGGCGAAGAGTCCTGACGTTAGTTCACGAGTCACTGTTCCCTGGTTCTTCATTATCCATCGATCCGAGCTCGTCGGCAACCAATTTCACAGCGGCTGTCGAGCGCGGAGTAATAGAACATATGAAATCGAGCGGAGGACTGTCAAAGAAGCGAGTCAAGGAGAGTAGCACCAGCGAGCCCCTTGCGCATACCTCGTGAAACCGGAACAGAAGCGCGCCGCGGGAGTAATCAATTTCCCTGATGCATCGCGACCTTTGGCGATATCCACGGTCGCCACGATATGTGCGATAGCCAACCACACTGCTTCATCAGCGAAGTGTCTTCCTGGACAGATCCTGGAAAATAGTGTCACCATGAATGGGTCGTCAGTGGGAGCGCTACCGAACGAGACCATGAGAGCGCACCGTCTCCCAAATCCAAAAACGAACTGGCGCGGGTCTTTCGAAGCCCCGCTTTGCGCATCCAAAGACTCAAACCGCGATGGATCAAATGCTTTCGGATCTGAGTACACCTCTTCTTGGTGACCCATTCTCCTGATAAGCATGAAAAATGACTCGAACGACACGTGGGAAGGGAACATACCAAATGTTGGGAATTATCATAGTTCCCGTCGGTACACTATAGCCACGATAACTGTCCTCTTGCGTGAGACGATGAGGCACGCCTAGGGAGTACTTATCAAAATTCGAAAGCTCACGCTGCAGCTCGGTGGTCTACCTACCCAGAGGCACGGGCGGATTCCAGCTAACGACGGTCAACGTTACAGTTGCTGATCTGCAGATAAGTCCTACCGATATACTTCTTGAATCATGCAATCGAGGTAGCGGAGCAAGTGTCTGTGCTCGAGACTTGGAAGACACGAGCGTCCCACGATGCGATCAATCTCTTCTTGTGCTTTCTTGTACACTTGAGGATGCAGGACCATAGCCAAAATGAACGTATTCAAGACAACAGCAGTCTATATTTCCAGATATGGATATGTTAGATTGCAATCCATCAGAGAACATACGGTGTCAACACCAGCTGAAGACATGTGTAGGTGAGATTGTGTATCTCACATAATCAAATGCTCACCTGAGTATATACTTGCAGCGACTCCCTTAATGTCTTCTTCATCCTCGCGTGAAATGTGGTGGGCGTTCGCATCCAGCAAGGACGCCACAAGAGATGGTTTCACGGATCCTTGACACTGGAAACAAGGTCATTGCGTGCTCATTTATGATTAATAGGGCTACGTACCATAGCTGACTTCACGTTTTCATAGGGGCTATCAATCATGTTGCGCACGATACCACGAACGCTGCGCGCTTTGTCAATTGGGGCCGAGCCCGGGAACCACGAAGGCAGGTATTTTACTGTAAATAAAGCGCACAAGGTATGCCACAGCTTCTCGGTGGATGCCGTCAGACTTACGGAACGGAACGAAGTCGACAAGTGTCGCGGCAGGACTTCCCGCCTCAGTAGTTGCATGTATGGCTCGCTCCGTCATCTGAAAGTATTCGTCGTCCCAGGAAGTAATTGTCCGGCCAAATACAGATGATGTAACTAGTGCAGCTGCATATCTGTTCCCAGAGTCCAGCTTGAGCAGGAGCAAGAACAAGTCGGGTACTTACCTTCGAATATGCTGCGATAGATCCTGGGGCGTCTCGATCAGTTGTAGTAAGAGCGTCAAAGTCTCCTTGCGCAGAATCGGTCTAAGTTTCAGTAGCGATGCCTTTTCTGAATACCACATATGAATCCATCTTCGGTGTCGACGCCATTGGTCGCCGTAGGTCAAGAATGGTGTAGCAGGATACCAGCCAACTCTACGAGATCGGAATGAAGTCAACGAACGTGTTTATGAATTACTAACATACATGTCTATTAGCAAGGCGAAATACGGCCTATCAGAATATAGAGAGCTCCGATTTTCCAGCAAGTCTTGCGCCACCGCAAGAGAGTTGAGAATCAGCACCGGTGTGGTGAAGAACTTAGCGAATATGAAGTCTCCTGAATCCCAAATATTCAGCGAAATCAACAGAGACGGAGACTCGGGTTTTCAGGGCATACCAAACTTCTGACCCCATTTAGCGAAGGTCTTATGTTGATGTTCCAAGGGTAGTTGCAGGATGTTTCCCAGAAGAGGAATGGCACGAGGACCGGGAGGTAAGGGACTCGTACCCTTGCTTGTGCTTCTGCTGCGAAGCAACCCACAGACTGCGAGCAGGCCTGTCAAGGCCAGTAGCAATGGAGTGTTCAGAGCTGTGGCCATCGCACGTACACCGGGAGTGAGCAAGAGGACTGCCCAAGATGCGAAGCTGTCGTCGGCACGGAGCGGATACAACGCGCAATCGGGTCCTATACCCAGAAGCCACAACGCCTTAGAAAGCCATAGCGACCCAGGGTCGTGCCAGACAATTCAGCTCGAACATCTTGACTGCCGGCATGTCTTGACATGCTCCACATAGAAGCCTTCCGAAGTAATCACGAAACGAAGGGTATGCCGCCGCATGTTACACACGGGCTTCCAAAGGCGGGGTGGTACCTGAGCGTGAACCGAGGAAGATATGCAGTGTGCGAAAGTTCGATGACTATGAGGTAACTTCGCTCCAGTCGGAGCTTGTGCGCCTATGATCGCGCTTTAGCAGTGTTCGTCAGGAATTGGTTACCCGCAGCTGTTTGCCACGGGTTCTATTACTCGCGGGCGAATTACTTATTGAGCTTAAGGTGTGCCTCAATCATGCCGAAAGACCCGCAGTAAAAATCGCATTTGTCAAATAATACTTCGTGAGAATATTGTTAAGCATAAAAAAGGAGCAATCTCAACGTTTCCCACGATGCCAACCGAGTGCTCAAGTACTTGGGAAACTATATGGGCGATACATAAGCAAGGAAGACTTTCTGTGTCTTTTGAGTTTCATTGCTCAATAGTGGCTCACTCTGAGATGATCAAGGAAGCCTGCAAAATTATCTCATCCAAGTATGTCAAAAGATATTCTTGATCCCAAATGTCAGTGGCCTGCTCATCATACATCGATCAGCGTTGCATTCTACCTACGCGTGCACTGTTCTCGCACCTGAAGCTGAACCCAGAACTCTGAGTGAATGCTCCACACGTGGGTGCGGCTTCGACAGAAAGAAGTCAGATGATGCCTGATAGAAAAGAAGACCGTCACCTACGGGGAGGGAAAAATTACCCTATGACCGAACGAAGTCGACAGGATATCGAAGACAGGACGTGAAGACGAGGGGTCGTCCGTGTACCACTTCATGGGAAGTATGTTCTCAATTGCACCAACATTTGTGATGAAGTTTGCTAGTCCCACCGATCTCGGCTGACGTATTGGCGAGGTGCGCATTTGAGCAGCCAGAAGGTGAGGAAAGTGCGGGTTGGCGATGTACTCGTCGTACTGAGACTTGACGCAGCGCATGACGGCGAGAAGGCGATCTCGTGGAGGCGAGGACTTAGGTATGTCCTTGTATGTGACACGTATTGGCACTGTTCCCATCTCCGAGATGAGTTGATTCCCGTCGTCATAGGGAGGGACTCTCCATTTCGCCAAAGATATACTACACGATCGGGTAGTGTAAGTCGCTCGGGAGGTATCATTCAGTGAGTACTCACACCGACATAGCAAAAGTGACATGCGCTTGCTCGGCTTGCTCTTCCGGAACAGGATTATGGGCTAATATTGCCAGTACCTGGGCAGCCTCGAAGAGATGTGTCACGCTGAAGCCTTCGGCCTTCACCTGCGCAAGAATACGTCGTGTAGTCTCGCGATCAATCCTCTTGCGCACTCTCACCGGCCTCCCGTGCACCCGAACTTCCGATCGTAGTGGTACGAGGCTATGGGTAGGCTGGTCCGATACTCAGCATTAGATCATCTAACGCTTTTGTTGAAAATTCTCACTACAGGATTCGCATAGATCTCCCGTATCTTCTCCAAAAGTGGAATAGCCTCCGTCTCCCAGTTGGGACGAGGACCGCCGGTGGCTGTAACGGGGCCTGCTGGAAGGTTCTTCCACTCTGTTCCCCAGTCAAGGTCCGCTAGAGGTACTGTGGACTCAGACATGAAGCTCAGCAAGAGCGAGAAAGCAAGCAAGGTGGGCCTTCCGTCCATGATGGCGTGGGGTCCATGGAGGAAGATAGAGAAGGCGTTTTGCGCCCCGGGGGTCTGAAGCAGGAAGCAACGCACAAATTGCTTGCTGCCGTCTTCTCAAACGTAAGGCACTCGCCGCTGGTTGCACGTTATCAGCATGTCGTCGGGTTCCATTGGCTCTGGCAGCGTAATGACGGATCTCTGAGCCCAAGCTTGAATATCCTGGATATTCGATATAGGCTTATATAGCCACGAACGCAGATCCGCGTTATGCACGCCTTCTTCTAGCGTTGCAGCGATTATAGGACAGAAGTATCTGGACGCATTTGTAGGGGTTACTGACCATGGACGCGGACGTCCTGTGCTGCCACTTACCGCAGTTTCGCATACCCATATAGGAGGCGCGACGTGACCTCTGCGAATGACAGAGGGCTAGAGAATGTGAATCCCATGCATACATCCGATGTCCTGTGCGCTGCGCTTAGACAAGTAACACAGTCGAAGCCTCGACATAGTACTCACCCGTCACACAAGCGGGTAAATTGATCGACCAAGAGTTCTGATCCCAGTAGAGGTCTATGAATCGACTGGGTCCCATGTTCATAAGTATGCAGACTTGCAGTATGTCTCACCTGCTGTACTGAACGTCATTCTGCCAGGATATACGCTCCCATTGTGGCTCGTCATCGATGGGACTCATTGCGCTTGACCCAGTAAGTCGGAAGAAACAGCTGTGCCTTAGGTCTCTGGCTGACCGCGTATATATTAGGCATCCGGATACGCCGCTTCCAATTACTCCCTTGAGATGAATCAGCGTTGGTAATGCAGTCCTCTGCGCCCATCAACTTCTCGCACTTACACCTTGCGGATGAACCGCGCATTACCCCGCTGGACATTCGCTAGCAGTATGAAATAATAATCCCTGGGAACTGCTATCCACTCGGAGCGTGCGAAGGTCCCGCAAGTTGCTCCGTGAAATCATTGCCACGACTCGATTCCTTTATGGATATTCTGTTGATGCTTCTACATATGCCGGTCCTTGCAACGGAGCATATGGAATCACGTTGTCATGCGCAGTTTCCATATGATGGGAGGACATGTGTGTCCCGATGAAACCCGGCCCCAGCTCAGCGCGCACACACCGATTCTCTCGGTCCTTACACAATAATTGACACGAGCTCTAGGGTACATATATGGTTCTAGCATGCGTGTGACTGCTACTAGATGGCCGCTCACAATATACGCGCATTAGTCGGAACGCAATGTAGTTGATAAAAGCGCAACCTCTGTACTCGGGTCATTGTACCCTTTACGGAGCCCTCAGGTGATGTCTGCTGTAACACAGGTCGTTGAAACGGCGATAGGCTGTGTCATACCATCTTGCATTGAATTCGGGAGGTGGCTGTTCCCGAATGTTGTTTATGATCAGAATACCTGACTGACTACCCCTTTGACGCAGTTCTATGCGTATTGCGACATCTTTGGGGTCTCCGAGTGTCACTCAGAGTCCTTGTGTCAACCGTGATGTAGTGAGCGCATACATGCTCCCTTTGAACTCACAGGTTAATGAGTGTTAATTGCGTCTGTAGGAAGACATAGCGAGAACCGCACGCGAGAGTATACGATTCTTCCTCGCCGAACTCAGCATAGAGTGCGTACCATACACTCAAGATCCCGCTCTCGAGGCCCAAGTCGCCTCGGCGACGCGCTGTTGGCCAGATAGGGAACGGTTAGCGCCACACATTCGTACTGGCATCGTCATCGCGGCTACTGCATACGCACATAACAGCCTCGCTACTCGCACTCTCATTGCTCTCTACACCGCAATTGGCGTTGCCCTGGACGAGCCAGACATTCTTGAGTCTGCGAACGCCATAGGGTTTCACCATAGCCTGTGCACTGAAACATCAGAGCGACCGTCGGCTATCCTGGACGAATGGAGGCGGATCCTAGCCCGGATGTGGGATCACTTCCCGCGTTTTGGGGCGAGCTGCATTCTGACATCGACGCTCCAATTCCTGAACATGACGATGCTGGAGAACGAGACCAAGGGCAAGGTTCTCAACAGGACTGCAATGCCTTTCGTAGAATATAGGCGCATGACGGACGGCTTTCCCGAAGTGTATACGGCCTTTATTTGGGAGAAAGGCCGCTTTCCCGATGTCCAAGTATACATGCAAGCCATTCCGTGGGTTGTCAACTAGGCTCACGTTCGTCTGTTTTTTGGCACTGACGTCTTATGCATAGCAATGCAATGCGATTCATCAACTTTGGCAAGTGAGTATAGCCTCTTGTTCACAAATGAGGCCAAGGCTGAGCTGCCTTCAGCGATATACTATCATTTTACAAGGAAGAGGCCGCTGGAGAGACAGGAACATACATTCATGACCGCGCGCGCCTTACTGGGTTGTCTTCCGTAGAGACGCTCAGAGAGGTGGTAGAGGAGACGGTGTCTGCGTGGCGTCAGGTATGTGAGATACTTGGGGAAGGTATCGCAAGGGACGCTTGGAACAGCTTTGTTCGCGGGTATGTCACTTTCCACGTACACAATCCCCGATATCGCCTTTCAGAGCTACTGTGAAAACAGCCGCACTGTTGTAGTACAGTTCTCGACTGCATGATCTGGTCGCATTGGATATCCGCGCGTTTGTTGCAACGCGAGAACCCATAAGCGCGACGTATGCTCTACTCTTCTGGTCGATGAGTTGCTCATTACGACCGGCGGGCGATACAAGAGGGTCGTGATGTGCCACATCATAAAAAAGCCCTGCGATTCAATCTCATGAACAATGGCTGCGTCCATGCTGCTTCCTGGATGCATTGTGAAGCCGACCCCTGAACCTAGTTGTACACGCTGTTCGGCGCCACGATGTCCATAGCCACATCACGAATCACCCTGCTCGTCAATGATTCGTAGAGATCCTACGGAGGATTCTTTTAAAGGCACAGACATCCATGGGAGCTCAATTTGCCTGGCATAAGGAACCGTGATGAAAAATCATCATTACAGAAGAGCGCTTGCGGCCACAGAATCCGAGATACTCCGCCGGCGCACTTCGTCGTGATCCTACCATGATAGGATCATGTAAACAACGCTGTAGTTTCCCATTTGTAGATTGTCCCTAATTCCTGTGTCAACCCCGGTGCATCTCCTGCCAGCTGCCCGCACGAGTTTGGGTGATTGGGCTCTGGAATTCCCACTGCGAGATGTGATATTATCAGCCGCACTGCACCCTCGATTGTACGTACAGTCACTAACAGGCCCTTCGGACATCGGGTAATACTTCTATATTCTCTTGCCCGTTACTGGTACAGACATGATCCATTTGAGTCTACTGTGCTTCGCCTTTCGCGCACATATAGATCATCATATGTCGCGATCTGAAAACATGACCAAAAGGCGAAATCTTTATTTGATATCGTCTCGATATTCTGTCACAAATTGTCGATTGTTAAGATCGGAAAATTTCGGGAATATCCTAGCATATGTACATTCTTATTGAGACTCCGAGGGTGCGTCGAACGACATGCCGTGCCTGAGACCTGAGGACTGCATATTACAGAGTCCGAGCAATGTACCCTTCGTGCGGTATGATTACGACTAAACTTACCTCATTTGGCATGCACTCACACGGGATTAGGCATCTGTGTCTGGACGCTGATGGGCATTTCCGACATTAGTCCCACTGAATGTACGAAGGCGCTGGGGTGAGTCGGCTATGACAGTGACATGCTCTTTCTCTCCGAGTTTGTCCTCTTCGATTCTCAATCAGGAGTGTCTCGCGGAGCCTGTGCTTGAAACCAGTGCTAGAAGGAGCCCCTGATGTCTATAGCATCATCGATTAGGTTACAGCCATTACCGCGCACCTTCGGATGAAGAGTCAGAGCGCTCTGTGAGGTGAGTGACGGACAAATCACGACGAAATCCTGACAGAGAACACAACATCGGAGGGCATACGCATGCAATACGATCACGGAGGGATGCTGCGTGCGCGTTCCAAGATGCTGGACCCGGGGTCCGTATCATTGATCATTGCGAGTCGTTCCACGTAAGCCCAGACAGTGCGGGCACTGCGGGCACTGCGGAGTCTTCGTCCGAAGCACTATACGTGCACAAGGACACGAACCCGTGCCTGTCAGCCCCAGAGGCATCATCTCATGTCCTGATGCCGGACTTCTACGCCTCAAGGCTCGATACAGAGGCCGTAGGATGTCTCAAGCGTGTCAGACAGGGGACGAAGAATTTGATTATGCAGGAACAATTTCCGCGTCGGACATCGCGCGTCGCATCCAGAACTATCATGGTTGCAGACAAGAAACTGGTTCAAGAGGAGCGGACGGCAATCAAACGGGAGCAAGCAATCGAGAAATGAACGCGGGAGTCGCACCGTCGTGATTCACGCACGCATCTCATACTCGCAATGCCTGCTTGGAGTAGAAAGTAGTACGCCGCCTGTAGGAGATTCCAGCCTAAAGAGACCCTGCGGGCTTAAACATGCACGCGGCCAACCGGCACGTAGTAATTTGTCTCGAAAGCAGAGAAAACAAGGGGCAGGATACCGTGACAACATTACGAGCAGCCACCGACATGAGATACACGCGCAATCGCGCCCGAGAGGGCGCACGCACGAACGCCCGACGCTTACGCCGCCCACACCTCTCGCGCCCACGTCGCAACCTCGCGCAGCGCGTTCGTCCTCTCCGGCTCACACCACGTTACCGTGAGAAAATCGTGCGCAGCACCCGCTACCTCGATGTACGTTACGCCCTCGGTGCCGACGTCCGCCTCGAGGCGCGCGCGGAACGCACGAATCGCGTCCAGCGCAATCTCTGCGCCGCCGCTCACAATGCACGTCCGCGGGACACCCGCAAACGTGCCTGGCGTGATCTTCGCGTGGCGCGCGCCGGGCGACGTCCACGCGCTCGTCGCAGCGAGGTCCAAGGGCAGCTGCCCCGCAAGTGCTCGTAGGGAGTACCCGCTGCTGAAGAAGCGGTCGGTGTAATCCGATTGGAAGTTCCGCGTGAGGGACGCGTCCGGGCCAGTGTATGAAGCGGCCCAGTCGAGCGTTGGGGAGGACATGAGGACGCCGCAGGGCACGCCGAGCTCGGCGGGCAGCTGCGCACGGTATGCGACGAGGTAGCGTGCGAGCGAGAAGGCGAGAAGCCCGCCCGCGGAGTTACCCTCCAGAAGGATATTGGCGGGTGCGAAGCCGAGGTCATGCACGAGATAGTGGTATCCGGTGATGGCGTCGATGAACGCTGCCGGGAAGTGGTTAGCATCGCCGAGGGGCGGCGTGCTGGCGAGGCGGAACTCGAGTGCAAAGATGCGCGTGTCTCCAGAGAAGTGTTCAGAGAACCCGCTGAATAGCGTCTGCGTGGCCTTGTTCGACGGACGCGAGGTTCCAAGCTGCACACATGGCAAGCGTTAGCATCGGGTTGTGCAGAGCCATAGGGTAGCACGTACCACGAACCCTCCACCTAGTGAAGGCCGACGTCAGATCAGCTATACACTTTCATGATTGTGGTGTAACGTGGACTCACCGTGGAAGTGATATATCACCTTTTCGCCCGGAGATGCCTTTTGGCCCACTTCTCCGTTGGGCCCTCGCGGACCATACCAGAAACCCGGGGTTCTGACGGCGTCGACCTGGTTGGCCCTGGCATAGTCGCTGATTTCACCAACAATAAGATCGGGCACAGGGTCTGCCCATGCGATTCCAGGTTCTTTGGGGTCGGGTTTGTCCTCTTTGGGGTATGGAAGCGGGACGAGTGCAGTCATGAACATGCCGTGCACGAATGCCCGAAAGGCGGTGACTGCAAGTGAGCGTTTCATGGTCCATGTAGCTACAGGACGCCACGAAGGGACGGTGAATGTGAGCATCCATACAGGCAAGCGGATGAACAGGATGGTGAGGGCATTGCAGAGCCCATAGAACGAGCGCAAGGGCTGTCTGCGAAAGAGGAAGACCATGGCTGGGGGTGGGAGACAGGAGGCAGTTAGAGCTGCGATGAGCTTTGGATAATGCTCAAGTTCCAGGTCAAGTGAGCCGAAGGTGCATGTTTTCTGGTTCCGTGGATTCGCAGGTGGCCCTTCCAGCTGATTCCATATCACTAGACCTGTTAAACTCGATATGTGCGTAAGCGGATTTTTGGTGGGAACGAGCAGGCCCTTGTAACAACGGCTTAGTTTGGTAAATTGTGGCTGTGACGACGGCCGCGAGCGTTGACTCTGAATTTCGCATGCGCCCAATTATTCTCGGGTAAGACGGCCATTGCAATCAAATTCCTTTTTGGAATTTGACAGCGCGGGAATGTTCATGACGTAAGCCACCGCGGACTACGTGATGATTCAGTCGCCGAACCCTATCCGCTTTGCTAGAGCCGGCCTCCGTTTCTAACATCAGTGAGGATCCGTGGTAGACGTTGAAGATGGATGGATGGTGGGATTTCCATGACTTCTCCATATAGACTCTACTCACAGCCTCTGACAGATCGTGGATGAATGCCATGAGGGAAACCCGGCCATGGTCGACCTGATGGTCGCTCCTGGCACGTTAAAATGCCTCCTATCGGTTTGATGTATGGGTGGTACTGGCTCTATTGAGCCGGGGTAAGACTAGACCTAGACCTACACCGTATTAGACCACCTGCCAGTGGGACGTCAAATTGAGACATGGCGACCTGATAAAGATCTTTACAATAAGACTGGACTCCGTGCCACAATTGTTCATCGCGCATTCATCATGAGTTCTACAACGGCTGCACTCCCTCCTTACAACAAAATCCATCTCGTCGGCGTGTGGGTTGAGACCGTGCTCTGGTGTACGCCTTCTACCGAAACGCGCTCTATTCGCTGTCAGGACTGACAGCGACCGCTTTTTGCAGCAATAAAGTCGGTCCATTGTGAGGTCTCTCGATGATGCGCTAAACGTTTCCGCAGCCTGGTCACCTTCCTCGCTGCCGTATGGATTATATTTTGGAAACGCAGTGGAGCACATCAATGGTAAGGGGACATGCGACGTCCCACCTTCTGTCCAATTCACACTCCGTAGGATGCTGGGAGCAACATCAATTCTGCTGTTCACGCTCGTCACCGTGCACATAGGAGCCTCTCTGCAGCAGCTTCTTGAAGCTTTCATATACATTCCCGCCGGTGCGCCAGCGGACTATACAACTCTCTATTGGCTCAATTTCCGGAATCCAATGTTGATCCTCAAGAGCATCCTTTACACAACGACGGTGGGGCCCCTGACCAGACATATTACATGAGCTGACAGGTGCATGTATTTTAGGTGTGGGTACAAGACATTGTTCTAGTATGTGCATCGCGCCAACACCGAGTGAGGTCTAAATGCAGCGTTGTGCACAGATCTGGCGACTGTACATTGTGTGGGATCACAACTGGAAAATCTGCGTACTTCCCGTACGTACAGAGGCACCACACTTCTCAACAGCTTTGCTGACCTTATGCACTCATCAGCTCCTACTCGACCTCGCACACATTGGTATGCCAGTACGCTTGTATCGCAATAGATTCTCTGACGCCTCTGTCCTCCCTCAGGAACCGCATATGCCGACGTCTCGTACACCTCTAAGCCCAACGTCAACTTCTTCAGCGGCGCCATTCGGAGCGTGACGCTTTTCGGCTGGGCCGCCGACCTCGTTATCAACATCTCGGTCACGACTCTCATCGCATCGCGGCTATGGTACATGGGGATGCGTGTGCGCTCCGTGCAATCGCGCACGGGCCAGTCACGCATCGAGAACCAGTATCTGCCCGCCATCTTCACGATCATCGAGTCCGGCGCGCTCTTCGCCGCCGTCACGATCTTCATGCTGTCCATCTACGTCAGCGGTAACCCTTTCAACCTCGCGGCGGTCGACATCTCCACCCAACTCGCGGTACGCTGTGCCTATTTTTCTTCCCCTTACTCCTGCTACTCCCCGCGGTGTATCGGTGCGAGTGCTGATAATGTAATCTGTAGGCACTTACGCCGTTACTGCTGATCGTGCGCGTCGGGCTCGGTCTAACGCATGGCCTGCCAGCCGCATTCAAGAGCCTGAAGGCCTCGGAGACCATGGGCGAGCTGTCCACGTTCCAGGCGAATGCCCAGACCACGACGAATTCGATGCGATTCACTTCGCACGGCGGGACGACAACGACTGCAGGCGCCACATCTGCACTAGGGGAGACGGACGTCGAGCTGGAGAGTATGAAGTTCAACCCGTCCGTGATATCCGTCAAGGAACCCGTGCGCATCCTCTCAGAGAGCAAGGGCACCTTGGCATAGGCCCGCTTGATGATCTCCGGGCTCGTGTGCTTAGCGTGATATATTAGTACCTCACAATGGCACAAACTACATTATATGAGCTTACCACTTCGGCTGCGTTTATCTCCTTGGGATGGCTCGCTGACAAAGGCCCTGACGGGACTTTTCATACCCAAGCCTAACATTTATACTTTCAGGCTAGCTCCACGGAAGTTGAAAGTCTGAATGACGGCCACGCTTCCGGTTCGCGTGTATTGCGCAGCACTCTTCTATAAACCGCAGCACCGCAAGTACGTCGAACATTTCGATAGCCAATTCGAAGAGAGATCCCCTCGTGGCATCGTTCGTCAATAACATTCTTGAGTGAGTGGTCTGGATTTCCTCTGCGCTTGACAGTGGTGGTTTCACCCTCACGTTATGCGAATGCGAGACGTAATGAGCACCTGGCTCGGAGTTGGACGTGCAGGCGTGAATGAATCTCAGGTGGCTCGACCATACTGCCCTCATCGAAAGAGAAAACACAACGCGAATGAGAATGAATCAGGTTCGTCACGGAGGCTACTTCAAGTTGCGCTGCAAACACTCTGCCAGAAATGTGCAGACAATGAAGATCGATCGTTATTGCGTTGGGTTTCGGAAAGTCACCGAGCCCGCATGCAATGTGTAGTGTAGATGAAAGATTTCGAGAAATTATGTCCCATGATTGTATTTTGATATGAGTCTCTCCTAGGCACCTTTGATGGCCATGGCCAAAATAGAAAAGTGTCCCCGTGTATTGCGACGCAAGTAGGTTTAGCGCCCTCGACACGTGACGTACTGTACGTAGTGTAAAGTTGTCGCATACTGTACTCCTCACAGTTCCAACGCGATACCTCAGAAATTCCTGCCCAGAATGTCCTACTGCGCGTCCTCGCTGAATCTGAAGCTCTACAGTGGCCCACCGTTGATTCTGAAATTCACATCAACCCCCGGGCCGTTTTTGCACAGGTATTCGCGGGCAGACTTATCGATTTAGATCACAGCGAAGCTGATTGCGAATTCGATTTTGGAATCTGACAGCGCGGGAATGAACGTAAGCAACTGTGAACCCCACCTGCTCCAGGCTGCGTCTCTGACATAAGTGAGGCTCCATGGAGAATATTAAAGATGGATGGTGGGATTGTCCGTGACTTCTCTATATAGACTCTACATCAACTCACGGCCTCTGACAGTTCGTGTATGAATCACATGGTCGGATTGCTGTGGTATTGGCTCTACTGAACCGGAGGTGGGTTGGTAAGGCTAGAATCAAAACTACGTCGTACTCGTTCACATGATACATCAGATTGAGACATCGTTAGATGATCTCCTGCTCTCTGATAAAGACCTCTACGACAGAAACAAACTCTGTGCCACAAGGGTTCATCACACATCCAACATGTCGTCTACAACAGCTGCCCTCCCCCCTTACAACAAGATTCATCTCATTGGTGCATGGGTTGAGACCGTGCTCTGGGGTACGTCTTGCACCGAAACACGCTCTATTTACTATCAGTACTGATAGTGGCCACATTTTCACAGCTATGAAGTCGGTTCATCGTATGTCTCCCGCGATGATGCGCTAAAGTTCTCTGCAGCCTGGTCACTTTCCTCGCTGTCGTATGGATTATATTCTGGAAACGCAGTGATGCACATCAGTGGTAAGAGGTCCTATAATGTCCTGCCTTTTGTCCAATTTATAGTGTATAGGTTGCTAGGGGCCATGTCAATCCTGCTGTTTACGCTCGTCACCGTGCACATAGGAGCCTCGTTGCAGCAGCTACTTGAAGCGTTCATATACATACCAGCCAATGCGCCAGCGGACTATACAACCCTTTATTGGCTCGACTTCCAAAATCCAATGCTGATCCTCAAGAGTATTCTTTGGATCACAACGGTGGGCGTCCCAGTGCAGACGTGTGTCGTCATCTGACAGATGCAGGGCTCTTAGGCATGGGTTCAAGAACTTACCCTGGTATGTGCATCCCAACAAGACCGACTAGGTCTGAATGCAAAAACCTGTCACAGATATGGCGACTGTATATTGTATGGGATCACAACTGGAAGATCTGCGTACTTCCTGTATGTGCAGAGGCACATTGCTTCTTGACTGCTTTGCTGAAATTGTGTACCCACTAGCTTCTACTTGATCTTTCCCATATTGGTATGCCGGTCCGCTTGCATCGCAGTTGATTTTCTGACACCCTCGCACCCTCAGGAGCTGCCTATGGCGAAGTCTCGTACACATCTCGGCCCAATATTGACTTCTTTAGTGGCGACATCCGCAGGTTGTCGCTCTTCAGCTGGCTCGCAGGCCTCATCATCAACATCTCGGTCACGACGCTCATCGCCTCGCGGCTGTGGTACATGGGCATGCGTGTGCGCGCCGCGCACTTGAGCTCTGGCCAGTCGCGCGTCGAGAACCAGTACCTCCCTGCCATATTCACGATTATCGAGTCCAGCGCCCTCTTCTCTGCCGTCACAATCTTCACGTTGACCATCTACCTGAGCGGCAGTCCGTTTAACCTGGCAGCGATTGACATCGCCACGCAGCTCGCGGTACGCTACATCCGTTATTCTTCCCCTTCGCCATCCCCTGCTCCTGCTCTTACTCCCCACAGTGTATCGGTGCGAGTGCTGATAACGTAATCTGTAGACACTTACGCCGTTACTGCTGATCGTGCGCGTCGGGCTCGGTCTCACGCATGGTCTGCCGGCCGCATTCAAGAGCCTGAAGGCCTCAGAGACCATGGGCGAGCTGTCCACATTCCAGGCGAACGCCCAAACCACGACGAATTCGATGCGATTCACCTCGCAAGGCGGGAGAACAACGACTGCAGGCGCCACATCTGCACTAGGGGAGACGGACGTCGAGCTGGAGAGTATGAAGTTCAACCCGTCCGTGATATCCGTCAAGGAACCCGTGCGCATCCTCTCAGAGAGCAAGGGCACCTTGGCATAGGCCCTCTTAGTGCTCTTCGGGCTCGTGTATTTAGTGTGATATATTAGCACCTCACAATGGCTCTTTATGAAGGTTGCCATTTGACGATACTTCCCTTGGCACGCCTCAGTCGTCAGCCAAGCGCCGCCCAAAATACCGGCAACTAGTAGGTCTTACTACGGTCATTTTTCACTTTACATAAGCATATATATGGATTACAATCATGCACACGAAATGGAGCACATAAGTGTCGTGATTATCAAAAATTGGTGCCACTGCATGCGGTATTCAATTTTCTGGTACGAGAAATCAAACAGAAATCGAAAGTAAAGTCAAATTATCTAATCAGTATCATGGCGCCTAATATGAAGAAACATCGATTCTGCAATCTATTTACCATTGTCTCTTTCAATTTTATTTTCGATTCTTCGATTTCCATTCGATTTCTACATCAATACGATTTAACAGGTGCTACTCGCTTTTCATTCAATTGATTCGATGTTTTTCGCAAAAGAATTGATTTCTGCGTTGAGTGATGTCGAAGACAGTTGCCACAGAACGACCTCGGCATATGCCGGAGTGCCACGCGGTTGTTCTAAAAATGAATTGTGTTCAACCCGCCTACCATGGCAATATATCAATCCCTTTAGTAGTGTAGGTATCACCTTCTTTCGAGATTCCTTGACAATGTGAATATCAATGATGTCGGTATCGCACTGAGTCTCTTCTGCCAGGACAGATCCGTCAGGGTCGCATCTCATGTCAGCAAGAAGTATGTAGCTCCTTCTCATATGAAGCTCTCCCCGAGTGAAACTTCTACTCAAATCTCACGCCCCCATTCACTGCTCGCCCTTCATCTGACATGTCTACATCCACTCATACTGACCTCTCGATTCTCCAATACCAGAACATCATCGTCTCACGCCCGACTCCCGCTGTCGCACTCGTCACTTTGAACAGGCCCAAAGTCTTGAACGCACTTTCCGCTGCGCTCATCGACGAACTTGTGAGCGCGTTGTCGCTTTTGGACACGGATGATACCACTCGGGCGATTGTTATCACTGGCAATGAGCGAGCATTTGCAGGTGCATATCCGTTCATGACAGTGTCATTGAGGCTAACAGGTTCCTTGCAACAGCGGGTGCAGATATAAAGGAGATGAAAGACAAAACTTGTGCGTCCGCCAATGTTGATTGTCACCAGAACGCCCGGAATTCATCACTTTTACGGTTCTCATCGCTCTATCATTTCGACAACTTTCCTACGGATTTGTGCTGCAGATGTGGATGTATTCAAGCACAAGTTCTTAGAGAACTGGACTCTCATATCACATGTACGGAAGCCCGTCATTGCTGCAGTGAGCGGGTATGCTGTGAGTCATTTCAATGCTTAGAGTGATAGTTAGCATTGCTTACTCTGCCCCACAGCTTGGTGGTGGCTGTGAGATTGCCATGGCGTGCGACATTGTCCTTGCTTCTCCTACTGCTGTTTTCGGTCTTCCCGAGATCGATATAGGCGTCATACCAGGAGCAGGTGGAACTCAGGTCGGTCTCTTCATTTGCTTGGCATATGTCTGAAATGTCTCATTCAACCTCCATGTTTGAAAGCGACTCGTTCGTGCGATTGGTAAATCGCGCGCCATGGAGCTGATTCTTAGCGGACGCCGGTTCAGCGCCACCGATGCCGCCGCGTGGGGTGTTGTCTCGCGCGTCTCTGAGGACGTCTTTGCGGACGCGATTGAGCTTGCAACCACTATTGCCGGGAAGGGTACTATTGCCGTGCAAGCAGCAAAGGAGGCGATCAACGTCGCGTTTGAGACGTCCCTCGATGAGGGATTGCGGCACGAGCGGACAATCTTCTATGGCCTATTTGCGACGCAGGATCAGAAAGAGGGTGAGGAGTTCCTTGTATATTGAACAATATCGATAGTAACGGATGAATGTAACAGGAATGTCGGCGTTTGCTGAGAAAAGGCCGCCGGTATGGTCGCACTCGTGAGGATGCGATCTGATCATAGTTCTTTATTATATGTCCTACTTTTGATCTCACTAGGGCTTCATTTGCGGGGTTTTTAGACTAGTCACTCCCTAGCAAGGTCGATTCGGAGGGCATGCTCGATCACCCAGTATGCGTGCACTACGTACGATAACACCGTTAGCTGAATAACGTTCCCACGCTATCAAACTGCATTGCAAAATTGAATTTGCCTTTCTTCCTGGCTCGCTTGATCGCTCGTTATCTAGATTCTTGTACGTTGAGTGGGGTCCTGCTGCCTCATGAACTCTTAGCCGCTTTCCCATTGTCGCTGTGCGTCTTACCATTGTCAATCATGCTCTGGTCATACCTCTTTGTTCAGGCTGCTTGGCTCGTCATCTGCCCTTAGTGCCATCACTTCTGGGCACCATACGCGCACACGTGGAATCTACTACGACGCTCTGGATACCATATCCGTCTTTGGATGACCTGGTAGGGTCCCAAAGCAGCATATGCTCCTCCATGACGTTGTCCCTATGCCCTCGGCGCGTTTTTGAGCGCCTGTGCGTGCTTGTCCACCGTACGAGGTCATTTGTATCATCTTCCTTGCATAACGGCGACTCCGCACAGCCTCTGGCGCGTTCACAGCTTTTTAGATTGAGCACAGCGTGGCCTACTAGTATCTGTCAGTGAAGCATACATCTCTGCTTGGGGTCTGCTCATCTTTGATTTATGATTCGGATCTTTTCTCACCGAAGAGATTGAATCGTATCGCTAGGCCACATTCCCTGGCAAGCTTGTGACATGAGGGATGATACCAGGGCTGGTAAGCTCCGCGATCACACAGCGCGGATACGGTGTTTTGATCGTACTATTGTTGCTGTGCGGTGGAATTGGTTGCAGTGAACTTTTCAGATTGTCCACAACCTCTGGATCGCGAAGTTCTAGGGTAATGCTTGTTACAGGAACTGTACATAGCTGTTTCGGTTGTACCTACATCGGTGGTCAAATCAAGTAATCAAACTTCAATTCGTGCTTTGGTATGCTCCAAATCTTCTAATCTGTCCGATAGTCTAGCAACTGCGACTCTGATCTTATGAGTGCATTGCGGCTTCCCTTCATACTCCATGGCGGGTTGAAGACTCTGTAATCGGGGATGATAGAGACACGGAATCTATACCACGATCTGTCTCAGGTACTGATGAACTCGGGCTCTTGCGTTCAGATGAGAACGGTCCATATCTCCGATAGCGCTAGAGCTCTGTCTCTATCGTGACCCGCTCACATGCATCCTCTATTACCCACAAGAGACGGTGGGGAGATTTTGAGTTGTAACTTCAATAAGTTTGAATAGGCGCATAGCATTCGCGAAAGCAGGGACAACTGTACAATATCAGAACTTCCTATGCATGTAGACGGCTCCCCGGTAGACTTGCACGTAAAAGGTCACATATGACATGGGGAGAGGTAATATTAATGCCCTTCGCAGAGTGCCTCAGTTCTGAGGTTCGGATCATCACCTGAAGGGAGTGACGGACATACTTTCAATGCTCAAGGAACCAAAGATTGGACCGATGCTTTAGCTTCCGAACGAGAGGCTAGATTACCGGACAACTTCATGTCCTGTAGGACATATTCGTCGCGTGTTGACAACGAAATCATGTCAGTCGCGATTTCGTGTTCCGTTGCTATATGCACCGTGGCCGCCGGCGCAGAAGAGAACATATGTCCTGGATGTATGGAAACAGCCTCGTCTCTGCCTTGGAGCAGATTTCTTGGGATGCCCTGCGTGACACCGAAGCCGACTCGGACCAAGATGAGGAGTGGTGTAAATCCCTGTGGGTTTAGGTCAGATAATATGACAGTCAACCATATATACTTACCACCAATTGGGCCCCGATGTACGTCGATGTTACAGTCAACGGCGAATGTTTTAGCAGAATCCCAAGCATTATAACGAGGCAGACGGTGTATATAACCCCACTCTCGATTATAGTGATTAGGGGCACGATGTATGGGTTTTTCGTATCACGAATGCCGAAGAGCAAGTTGAATTCAGCCCTCCTCCTGCTCAGGTGCAAGAGCCGAGCCGCGATCATGCCGGTCATATAAACACTCATCGCAAGATCCAGCGACCATCCAGCCAGGCCTATTGACTCTGAATCATGTGCGTAGATGTCCAGTGTTCCCCGAGCGAGGTAATGCACTGCGAGATAACCGCATACTGTTATAAGAACATATAAGCGACTAACTCAGAGCCATGATCGCGAGAGTGACGAACCGGTGCGAGGTATCGCTAGGATGAGCTGTACAAGCACTTTGAATAAGGTCATAGAAAAGCTGCCATAGCGCGCACATACTGGTAGCACACAGAACCTCCAATCTCGATCCCATACCCAGTACAGGCGCCAGATCTACCGGAATACACTAAGTCACTTTACGCGAGCATAGACGCAGAAAACGTACAAGTGTGCAATCCTGCATCCATGCCTAGGGTGTCTTGTCAACACGTCACTCCGTGATAGCTTCCTGAAGACTTACAATCGTAATGTACATTAAAGTCTTGATATAGGACATCGGGTTTGAACCGTCTAGCCAATACGCGTCTATGTCCGGAGGAGACATGTAGACAAAGCATTCAAGCAATTGTCTTACTGATGTTGCCATGTTGACAGTGAGACACACGTATATGGCCGTCGAACTCGTGCGGAGAATCCTGACGCAGAATAAACACTATGTCAAGTAACGGGAATGTGTTTCGTACCATCGATGTGCATCTTTGTGTCTGTGCCGTAAAAGCCACATGGCAACCACGTAAAGAATAGAACTGCGTGGCAAGTGTAAGACCAGACACTATCCAAGAGTTGTAGCATACTTGATTGCTACAATATAGGATCAGCTTTAGATTAGAACAGTCATGTGGAAAGACTCACCCCATAATATTGTTTGCAGCCATATGCCGATTAAGTTGATTTTGCCGTAACGAGGGATGGATTCGTCTGACATTCCGGAAACACAGTACACTTGAGTGACTTCGGATTGACCGCGTCCCTCTCGTACTATATACATATACTCTGCGCAGTGCTCGAGAGATACATCATCTATCATTTGTTCTCTTCCTTAAGATATCAAGGCGTAAGGTACTGTTACAACCCTAGATGTTCAACAGATATCATCGTGACATATGCACAAGACGGTTTTATGATAGTCACTCTAAGTATAGGTCGGCTTCAAAACGCGCCCCCGGACCGTAAGATAGCGTCTCGAGCATATCATACTACGTAACACTCGCCGGCTGATGGCCGTCTAAGCTTACCGTACTGTTGGTCTCAAGCTGTGGCTGTAAGGTTTGTTGGGCCTCAGCCCTCAGTCGCCATGCGTCACGACCCAGTCTATAGTGAGTACCAAACTCTACGTTCGTCTAGACTCCGGGGTACCTCAGGTAACCTAAGCGGCGCTGGCGTCGCCTTACTAAATAACCACTGCCTTCCATTGAAATTTGAGATGTCATGTTCATGCTCACTCTATCGTGCATGATTCCCCGACATCGCGTGATCCACTATGACCATGCCGATATTATTCCCCAGCTGTAACATCTCCTCTCGGTATCATGGAAGTTGAATCTACATACCTGTAACCTCGAGGTCCTTCACGGAAGTCTTGCGAAAATGAACGACAGAAGAGCTGAAAATAATGATGTTGTAGGATACTTGCTGGTGCAGACTCGAACATCGCGCTGGAAGGCGAATTATAGCGAGCCCGCGCAACGCGTCGCGTCGAGCAAGATTTTGACGACGCAGATTTTGGCTTACGGTCATGTGACGCGTGCATGATTCGCAAACCTGATTGGCTGGTTAGCCCTTCGCGAGCCAAGAACGTGATCAAATCACGGCTGCATCACGCTCAGTCATCTGTGACCCTTTCAGCGACCTTCAGCCACATCTAGGTGCAGCGAAAAGTCGCTTTCTTTACAGCGACGTTTGAGCGGCAACTTTGAACGCACCTACTGTCTGGACTCCCCAAATTGAAACAGACTATGATTTCGCGCCCTGCACCGCTCTTAGCTCCTCGAACTGAGAACATAAATATCTTTCGACGTATCAACTTGATTCTTGCTGTGTTCGGCTCTGCTCATTGCCGCGGAGGGCACGGTACTAATAATACCATGGTCTGTCCATGCGTGGCTGCTGTCACCTCTGCCACTCCCTGTGAACATAGGATCGGTTTTGCCTGCGAACGCAAGCATCTGTTGATTTTGGAACTGCGCTCTGCGATCTCGGTTTCATAACGGAGATCAACATGTCTGCATTGCGTGGGACCTCCTCATGTGGTCCTCTTTCATTCAGCGCAGAGGAGTTTACTCGGTCCATGAGGGGGAGCCCGAAGAATAAGTGGCGAATGGGCGGGGTGCCAGTGGCACAGGTGGGGCTGACGGAGGCGGAGGCGGGGGTGGGGCTGATGGAGACCTGCGTGACCACGAACTCTACCGCTGACCGCGGGGGGATGGAAACTGTCAAAAGCTCCCTGCGCTGATTATCGCTGGCTTGTTGCGGGCGGTATTGGTTGCGGGGACCTATTGAGACTAGGGCAGCGTGCATGACATCCAAGAAAGTCTGGGACAATAGACAGAGCAGCGTGAGGCATAAGCTCATGGAGGCCCGAGAAAATGCTGATTTCTCACAATCAAATTAAGGATGCTGCTTCGTGCAGCTGATGGCAAGCGCTGTCAATCTAAGACCAAATGCTGCGCGCTCGGTCGGACGTGCGGGGCCAGACAGCCTTGTCGTGATTCTCAGCCGTCTCTCGCTCCGCAGGCTCATTTCATAAAGCCTGAGGTACGCTGCCTGCTAACCAACGCCCATCTCACTTACTAGCTCAGAGCTTGCCTAAAACGCACCGCAAACTCGAAATGCCACCGATTAAGAACGGCCGTGTTCTATTCAACGAGATCCCCACAGGCCACCCCGTGCCTGGACGGACGACGGTATACGATGGCTCTCAGACGATCGACCCGGATATGGTGCCCCTGAACGGCGGTTTCCTCGTGAAGACGCTCGTCGTTTCCATCGAACCTCTCATCTTGAGAAAGATGAAATTATTGGCGTGTTCTCTGAATATTGTTTGTCTTTATTGGGCTAAGATTCGACCTTCAGTACGTTATAGGACAACCGTGAGTGTCTTTTCATCTAACTCGTTCCGCTGGCGTTTCAGCCGACTATTGCTCGGTTCATTGGAGCCATGAGCTATGGAGTACGTTCGGCTCGGGTGACCCATCTTGAAGGACAATTGGTCCGGCTTAGCAAAATCACATTGCCATGATGTCATGGCGACGACTTCAACCAGCAACCTCATAGTAGATAACTAGCAAATGAACACAGAAAAAAGGCGAGAGCCAGAGGTAATAACTCCGCAAAAGCGCCACATTCCGCCCAGTGCTGCCTCCAGTGGCAATGAAATTGCAGCATCACATCTCGCCTATTGTCCCCAACACGCATGCCTCTGGATTACTGACGCCCATCCTCGCAGCATCTCGAACTTTGGCGTCGGTGTCGTCCTGCGCTCCGAAGACTCTGCCATCAAGCCCGGCGATCACGTCTACTCGGGCGACATCCGTACGCCTCTCACCCCTGCGCGTACTAGGTGATTGTGTTGACAAGGGATTTCAGTCTTCCAGGAGTACTTTGTTGCTACCGACGCCAGCCTATTTCAAGTTCTGGAGAACAAGGAGAATCTGCCGTGGTCCGTCTACGTCGGAGTATGTGGTATGCCTGGTATGTAGTCATCAAAGCGCCAAATTTCTCCAATGGGCTCATGGCCATTGGCAGGCCAGACGGCACACCATGGGTGGAGGGAGTTTGCGCATGCACCAAAGGGCAAAGTCGCCTTCGTTAGTTCTGGTGCAGGTTCGCGGTCCCCCCCTGCTCAGTGATACGAGATGCCTATCCACACGCACGTCCAGGTCCAGTAGGAGCGACGGTCATCCAGCTTGCCAAGCAGGACGGCCTCAAGGTGATGGGCTAACGGTAGCGCTTATAGATACTGGGACAACGTCGGCGGAGAGACCCTCGAGGCTGCAATCAACGCGGCCGCTGTAGGCGCGCGCTTCATCGAGTGTGGTATGGTCTCTGGGTACAACAAGGAGACGCCGTACCCCGTGAAGAACTTGGTGCTCATCGTGGTCAAGGAGCTCCAGATCCTTGGCTTCCTTTCGTCATCTCTACAAACGAAGCACCTTGCGAACTTCTACCGCGAGATCCCGCCAGCGGTCGCGCGCGGGGAGATCAAGTATTTTGAGGACCGCCGGCTCGGGCTGGAGAATGTAGGGGAGACGATTTTGGATATGTTGACGGGCCAGATAAAGGGGAAGAGCGTGATTGTAGTCTCTCAGAAATAAATATGTTATTCGCATGTCCAGCACATCCCGTACGAGTGCTTCGATGCTGAAAGGACTCGGAAGGGATAAGTACGATATGCCATACTGGTGTGTGATACATTGCATTCAGTGTCAGGCGATCTTGCTTATTGGAACTCTGACATGAGTGTGGGGATTCGGACGCCATTGACAGTTGGTAACGCCCATGCATAGCGGGCGCTTAGTAATTCAAGTTCGATCCTTGTCACAAGCCCGCACGACATGGGCTACTAGCACCGGCACTGGCCTGTCTTCAATTTCTGCGCGTATGCGTGCCGTTGTCATGGGATAACCAGCGCCACGCTCTGAAAATAATGCGATACACTCGGCGGTCACGCCATGTACATACATTCAAATTTCGATGACAATAGCGTAGCTCAATTTGGTTCCAATACACGAAAG